CATTTTGTTTGCTTGGTAAATAGGATAGGTGTGGGTTAGGAAATTAGATATTTGGGTTTAATAGGGGGGGAAATTTGAGAGGTTGAGAATAGGGGGAAGGGGAGGGGCTGGCGGCTGAAGAAGGAGAGTAGATGTGCACGTTGTGAGGAGGGATTTAGTTTGGGTTGCTGGGTTTAGGCTTAGACATTTGGTGGGATCTTTGGGTTCTGGGTAGTAGCAAGCAGATTGTGCCCTCATGGGCAATGCATAGGGATTTCGGGATGACGTGCTTAGGTGGTGGGAGCATCTCTATATCTCTCTATCTTCCCTCTTTTGTTCCTTCCCACTCTCTCTTTCCATCATATCACACGTGTGCGAAGTTTCATTTTCTTAATTTGCCCATTTTGCAAATTTTTAGTTTATAAGCCTATTTTGTTGGATTTAAAATACTAATTCTTTTTGAACTGTGCAACGATGCACATTAATCATACTTATTATATATTTTATTTTTATCTATATATATATGTCATAAAATTTTATTTTGATTAAAATAAAAAAATATAAAAAATTCAAACATCTCATTATCATATATATTCATTAAAAATAAATAATAAAGAATAAAATTAAATTTTAGAAATTGGCTATTATTTATAATATTTACTTAAAACAACTTAAATTTTTTATTCATTTAGGAGACATTGATGAACCAAAATAAATACTGTGATTACATAATAACTCAATCGGTAAATATTTTGTGATCTGAGAGGATCAAATTCGAAATCATCTCACTCCTCACTCCTCCAAAAAATGTGAGAAGATATTCAGACATCACATTTTGATTGGCTTGAAAAAATTAATTTTATAATTTTTTCAATCAATTTAACAAACTTGTCCATTATTTATATTTTGGTCTCGTTTAAGAAACTTTAAACATTTTTAAAATTCTAATTAAAGATTGTACAATTTCAAAATTTCATTATTCTCCTTTTATTCCCGTTTTTTACATATGGTATTTAGATTGATTTTTGGAAAAAAATGACTCGTCTTTATTGTCGATTGCATTTATTATACATCGAGAAAGAATTGTATGACATTAAATATAATATATATTGGTAATCTGAATATTTAATAATGATAATAATAATAATAATAAATCTGTAATTGGGTGGTGCAACACGTGATACATACCAACTATAAAAATATGCTATAATTGGAAATGGAAAACTTGGCCTTTCCTTATTCTATTTTCTACTAAAGAAATTAAAGAGCTATATCATATATGGCATGGAACTCAAGGAGATAAGTACAAATTAGGCCCTTTTTTCTTTCTTTTTTAAATATCAGCCTTTTGCTGGAAGTTCCTTTTGATTGCATGACCAATTGACCATTAGTTGGTAACTAAATAAATTAGTTCTCATAATTCTGTTGAGCACTGAGAAGGAGGAAGAAATTTAAAAGACTGGAATCGGAAATTGTCTGAACCGGCAGGGTCCTTATTGTTAGAAAGATAAGTGACTTGTATAAAAATGGGAGAGGAGATGAGAGAGAGAGAGGAGTAGGGTGGGTAAGCATTGTTGTGAAGTAGAGTAACTGTTAGTTTTGGCTTTATACAACTTGTTGAAAGATCTAACTATTTTAGTACAAATACTCCAATAAGCTCTCCACCACCATAATCACAACCAAGGGACCACAACCACACCATACCATTGTAATTATTTTTAGCTCACTCAAACTGGTAACCCCTCTCCCTTCTCTGCCCTTCCCCGCTCCTCTCTCTTCTCTTCAAGACATTTCCATTTTCTGCCCTTTCACCCCATCAAACCCACCAAGCCAATGCTTCCCAGAACTTAGCCCTAAAACAGAAGGTCCATGTGAATGGCCACTCAGGAGTAAAATGTCTCACACCTAGATCTGTGAAGAGACAATTAAATGGGTATGCCAGATTTGGAGGGAAATCTGGACCGTTTCAAAAAGACAAATCAATGGCACAATAATTCGAGTTTTTGTGTATGAAAAGGTCACTGTCATCTGTTTTAGTTGTTGGGATTTTCAGCACAAAACAGAGACTTCGGACATACAAAGCAAAGAAATGTCTGTAAGAAGATGTCTCACTCTCTCGTCTCTCTGCTGGTCTTCTCTCTCTCCCTCTAAGGAACAGAACCAAAGGACACTTTACAATGCAACCCAACAAATGATTAATTAAATGAGGAGACCTTTCCTCCAAGCCTAATCACTTTTTTTTTTTTCTTTTTTCTTTTCTTGTTATTAATACTATATGATCTGTTCCGTGCCATCCCAGTATCTTGTTCAATGAGTCCATGGTATGAAAACGCCTACTCACCACCCTATTTCCTGCCTATCCTCATCTACATCCAGATTAAGTTTAATTCTTGCTTAAATAAAAAGTAGAAAAACCTTCCATCATTCAGGCTCCAATTACAAGAAACCATAGCCAAAAAACCAATAAAAGGAAACTCCCCAAATTTGTTTGACTATAAAGAATACATCTCTTCGTATTGCAAATATCCTCGTTTCTTTATTTCGATCAATTGCACTTAGTTTTCAGTAATGAAAGTTTTGGGAATAGAAATTTGCTGTGACCGCAATCAGATAATCGTGTACCAAGGAAATGCTCATTTTCATTCAGCAGGAGTTTGTACAAGGGATATTCTGAACATTAATTTAATAATCGAAAAAAATTGCAAAAAAGTTCAAAAAAATAAAATCCGACTACTTGCCAAGAAGTTAAAACCCAAATAAAGCTAAGATATAAAAAATGACCAGCCTTGGCATCAAGGAATACATGACAAATCGAATGAAATCATATTATATTTTCGCGGCATATTTTATTTTATACTTACATTGGTATATCATATGCCACCACTCTCAGGAAGCCTGAAATGAGGCACACAACATCCATTTTCCAGGTGCAACCAGGGTACCATTGCATTTCCACATCAACTGCACTCTGTCAAAGCAATTCTTATCGCTGGCTTTACATCATTTGGACAACAAAGTTCAGAACAATAAAACCAAAAAAACTAATAAATAAAACGGGTCATTCACTTGAAAGTCAGAGGGCAAGGAAGAAAGATTATACAAGAGAGATTGTGCATATCGAGTCCAATCCGATATTGTGTTCTGGCTTCGTATATTGACGAGAAAAAGGACTTAGATTTAATTTAAAAATCCATTGTTTGGATAGTCAAATATTTATCAGTTGTGGGATTTGAATGAAATTCAAAAACAAATTTAATAGTATTGTCATTTTCAAATATACTCTACACTTTTAAATAGCAGGTTTCAAATTAAATACGTGGTCCAAACACAGATAGAAGGTTGGGCAGCAGACCTCATTGAAAGTCGAAATTTTCTGATCTCGAGCTTTGGGAAAATCCATAAACATGATCATTGGCAAAGTGAATTCTCTCCTCTTTGGTTACTCTTTAAATAATTCCCTCTGAATGCATTCTGTTAATGAAGGAAAGAAAACTTATAGAGAGCAGCCTCAAATTTATTCTCATGGAACTGTTGATATAAGCTAACAATTTATTCCCAATCATTCAGCTATTGGTAAACTATGAAACCCAGACAAAAGTCAAAAAACTTTAATTGTGAATAAATAATGGTCTGACAATTGATGTAACCCACTTGTTAAGTCCATACCAAAATAACAAAGTACTCAGAAACCTTCAACTCTCCTAATAAATAAATAAATGCTTAGGAATTGCAAGCATATAATCCCAATTTGAATAAGAAATATCTAAATTGTTCAATCCACTTAGAATCAGAAGTTTTGCTAAGCCCATAAGGATCTAGTTAGAATTAAGAAAAACAACACCTAGATATTCTGCTGCATCATTGGGCAAAATTCATTAACCACCTGCGTTAATGGTCTGAGCTTCTCACTTGATAACATAACCTTAAATGAACCTCCTCCATCCTATTATTTAAAGACCTAGAAAATGCCCAAAGCAAGAACCTTAATATGAAGACACAATTGCTAAGAAATATTTATGCTACCGCAATTTAACAGAATAATCTGGGCCCTAAAACAGGCTCAACCATATTTTTAGGTCAGATCTGGATGATTCTTGAAGTAGTTAGAATGTGTTGAAGAGACTCAGGTAAAGGATTATGGCAGATTTTACAGGCACCCTGACTACTGCGTGTGAGTCACATGAAAATATTTTTTATAGTAACTTAACTTCTATTATGTACTACTCTTTTTTGTGTTCACATAGTCAGCAGTCACTAACTCCCAATATTACCGGGATTATGTGTCTTAAGAGAGATTTATAATGATGGCTCTTTTCATTATCATTGATCTATTATAGTTTAGAAGAGAAAGAAAGAAAACCTTCACAACAAGATGCATACATTCAAAAGCACTCTATCATACCTGAATCTTCCTCTCAAGCTTGTGAAACACTATTTCTCTTCCAAATAATCCACACCTGCATAAAGGGGTTCAATCATTTGCATATACACGTTTCACTTATTTTTGCAGCAGATAAAAGCTATTGACCAACCCCAGCAAAAAACCATTCACCTATTGATTGCCAAAACGATTGCACATGAAACATGTCCAGTAATTAATATAATCACTGCCCTTGGGATAATCGCAAGAATTTGAAAGGGGGGGGCGGAAGGGCCGGTGGGGGGGCGGAGGACCGGGGGGGAGGGGGCAGGGGGGGGACGAGGCGGGGAGCGAGGCGGGGGCATAACCATAAAAAGTGTTGTTTCAAATTGATAATATTTATTGCTTACAAATGATATGGTATTTTTTTTTTCAGGTCACTTTATTCTCAACATTGGCGGAGAGGGGGCGTGAGCCTCCAGTTTTCAATAAGACTATACCCTTATAAACTTTCATTAAAATTGCCATCTTAATGATCCAATACTATATGACATATATAAACTCACACCTATAGGCCATTTACCTCCAAAAAAAAAAAAAAATATATTATATATTATATATAATATATAAGCAAGAAAGAGGTAAAGATTCGAACGTAACAAAACAACATCATTTGGCGCAAGTGAAGCCATTTCAGAAGGCCTCTGGTCTTTCATTTTGCAAGCCTCGAATTCCAAATACCTGCACAAGGAGCAAGCCTAAGTCCTATTTGCTCTAATTTCTATTTCCACTATAGTTTCACCCATAGGTTAACATTGAGATCCAAATTAGGGCTGTTCAGGAAATTAATAAAACTGAAAACGACAATTATCTATAAAGGTGCCTTTCCACAGCCATTTATAAGAATTACAAATTGAAGAAATAATCAAAAGGACCGCAAGACAGCCAAAAAAAAAAACTTCAACCGACTGGCAAGAGAATTTATTAACAAGAGGATTTGGAAAACAAGTGACCTGCCTAGGAGGTCTGTCCCCTGTTTAATAGAATAATGAATAAATATATGGCTAAAGCAGATAAGACAGTACTGAAACTTTTTTTTTTTTTTTTTATTACTAAGAGTAGGTTGCAGAAGTAAAAGTAACTACAGGACCATCAAATAAAGTTAGGATGGTTTTTTAAAGCTATACATGACAGGCTAATTTTTTTTTTTTTTTTTTTTTTTCTGGTGGTTGCAGAAGTAACTACAGACCATCAAATACAGTTAAGGGATGGTTTTTAAAGCTATACATGACAGGCTAATTTTTCTTTTAGGCTTTGGTTATCCTAGAGAATGAATGATGGCTAACACACAGCATCAACTAGAAGGACGCATGTCGGAATTTTCAACTAAATAATAGAGAAATAAAGGAGCATCCTTCTCTGGTTGATTCTCTAAATAACATGAGAACAAGATATGAAAATTTTTTGCTGAATTTCCAAGCAGGTTGCAAGCAAAGAAACATACACTGTTGCTAAATCAACATGAAAACGTAATCCACTCTCAACCACCATGGTCACAAGGGAGTGATTTCCAGCCAACACCTCAAGCGGCAGTGTTCTGTAATCATTATGTATGGCATCAATCTTGTTTACAACAGTTTGTATCTTTGGCTTATTTTTATCCAGGACTACCTGTAAAGAATACATATACACATTACAAAACATTTCAACATTACGAAAGTTAATATATTTTAATTCTAGAGTATGCCGTCAAGATGGTAAAAATATAAAAAGTTTTCAAAAATAAGCACCTTAGCTATAAGATTCTTGTATGGCAAATGCTCATCTCTCAGGTTCAGATGAGCAATATGCCCAATTATTTCAAAAGATGATGGAATGATAACTCCTTCTGGTAGCAAGGCCTCCAAAACCTGCGAAAATGATAAAAAATATTATTATTCATTTTGCAATTTCTAAGAGCACCAGAACCCCCTTCCTTATAGCATGTTTGATTAGGAAACTAGGAATGGCGTAACTGTAGATAGTCAAAGCTTAAAAATAATCACTCTCAGTTAAAGCAACTCGATTCAAGTAAAAAAAAAAGGTTCAAATTCTGCTTAAGCTTGAGTCAGATTGACCTCAATTAAGTTTGATTTGCCTAAGCATATTGCTGAATTAGTTCATCTAATATCATAATATAAAATTTAATTAAAGATAGCATTACTCACCCAGAGACATATTTTTTAAGAAGCAAAATAACAAAAAGTAAAATAAATACGTTATTGCAGAAACAAAAATAAAGCATGGTAAAAGTATAAAATGCACCATCAAACCAAGCATAAAGACAAATAATCTCCGAGCAAAGGCTTGAGCTTGGTTTATTTCTAGAAAAACAAGCCAACCCTAGCCAACCCTAGCCAAGCCAAATCCAAGATGTTTTTTAACAATTCAGTTCATTTCAAGGCCTGTAAGACAGAAATTTGAGGAAATCTCAGGTCTCTAAGAAATTAAGGAACAATATTATTCTCTCTTTTAAAGGAGAATATAGTGTCACCTTGATAATCCTTTTCAGTTCAAACCCACATAAATGAATTAATCTAACTCCTCTAGGCTAGAGACATAATTAAACAGTAGCAACAAATGGAGCAAACAGAAAAGTAAAAGACACTAATGATATCTCGGTGCAACATACCTCATTCATCTGCCAGTAATCATAAAACAAAGTAAGCTTGCATTTAATAAGTTCAAAGCTAGAAGTTGGGTTTTCTTCCATAGCTTCTTGTAAAGCCACCTGCAGAACAGAATGAGCATAGTAGCTGTGATATCATAAACAAGGAGAAAGATGAAACTTTACCAAGATAACATGATCAAGTAATAAATGACAACATAAAGAAAACTACAAACAAATATTCATGTCATGGACAGAAGAATTAGCTTTAGCTGGCAACTGTCTCAAGAAAAGGAGCAGTAGACTGTAGAGTACTGCCAATTCCTCCAACCCTAGTGTCTCAAATATCAAGATGGTGCACAGAAAAAAGATGGGAAAAGGAACACTATGAACCACCTTATTATTAAGCATATTAAGACTAATATATTAAAGAAACCACCAGAAACAGTTTGTAAAAAGAATCATAAATTTACATAGCGGTTAATTTACAAGATGGGGAACTATGAGTAAATGGTGGCCATAATGATAGACAATCATTAATTGTTAAGAGCGTCTGATAACTAGAAGAGAAGTCCTCCATAAAAATTGAATTGAAATGGCTGGAAACAAGAAATTGTCTCATAAAGAAGCAGGACAAGGTCCATCTTGGTGACAATGCCATAGAAATGTCTTTCGCAGGTGGACAATTATGATGTTAATAAACTGACCAAGCAACAATATTGCAACACTGCAACAAGTCTTTAACACCCAAAGTATCTGCACTCACACTGCTTAGAATTGACACCAACTCCCATAATTCAGAACTTTGGAGCGACGCTCAAGGGCACATGATTGGCGTGCCAATTCCTAAGTTCTATATCTCAATTGAAATACGTGTGCAATCATTCATAAACCCCATGACATTAATGACTATGGGACAGCAACATTTGAAATTTTAAACATGCTATTGATTACTATCCTATATTCTTAATAAAACACATGACAAGGAAACATACACCACAAATTCTAACCAAAGTAGACCAAAATCAACTCATAAAAAGCAAGCCCATTGACTATAATATCAAAATTCGAAATTTCTGCACAAATGACATTAATGAATCATGACAAGAAACAATAAAAATTAGCAAGAGCAATACAAATTCTACAAAAGCAAACAGTCAAAGTATGAAATTGACTCACAAAGAACCAAAGGTATTTGGATTAGCCACCTGAATAGCCTGGGGCAGATCTTCAACTCCTTTATCGGCATATCTCTCATCCAAAAGCAACAACCTTGTTGAACCTCTCCATTTCTTCCTCCCTTTAAACTTATCCCCCAACAAACCTTTCCAATCCTCTTCCTCCTCTTCCACAACCTCCACCACAGAAAACCCTTTCTTCCTACATTTCCCCCTCATTTTCTCCTCTCCTTCCTCTTTCTTTCTCTTCCTCTTTGGCGGCCTTGAAATCTTCGCTAAATTCTTAAACTTAACAAACCCCCTATAATTAAACTCCTTCACCAATTTCTCCCTATACAAAACAGGAATTAATTCTTCACCACCTCTCTCTACTCTCCCATAAATCATTTGATTCAAAGCATCAAGCTTTCCTTCTTCATCTCCATTCCCATTTTTGCTGTCATCCAAAAGAGACACGAGCTCTTCTTCTACCTCATCTCCAGGCACTCTAGCAATATTACGAATCCGCGGCCAATTCAACAAATGGCCTCGGAGTCTACTTTCCAGAGCAAAACAATTCTTTGCTGGGACTCGAAGAGCAGCAATATCAAACACCCGAGAGAATTTCTCTTCATCGATTACCTGTTCTTCAATTGGCTTTGGATCCAATTGGGATTGAGAGTTTTGAAATGGGATTCTGCCTTTAAGAAGAGAGGGTCCATAAAGATGGGATTTTGGGGTTATTGCTTGAGTAGCAGCTGTAGATGTAAGAGAAATAATGGAGAGGGAAGAATTGGGGAAGAGGGAAAAGTGGGTTGAGGAGATAATGGTAAGAGGAAGAGAGTTGGCTCTGGGAAAGAACTTGGTGACCATGAGATTTGTGGTTAGTGATCAGTTAATGAAGCTACTGCAATTCATTTGTTCGTATGTAAGCAGGGTTTTAGCGGGCTGACTCGGGGTTTTACCTGCGAATAAGAATATAAACATAAGAATATAAACACCGAATTACTTCCATTTTTGATTGATTACAGTTTTGTCTTTGATTTTCAATATTTGGATTAGTTATTGCAAAATAATTATTTTTTTAAATAAAAATGAACTATTTTGACCAAACCTACGAATTCAGTCCGATATTTAAATTTACTTCAATGCAATTCGGTTCCAACCAAAAAATTAATTTAGACTTTTACAGTTCGATTTGATCCGGAACCAAATCACTGGGGCTGCACATTGGTTGGGTTGGGTTGGATTGATTGATTTAAAGTACTTAATCCACATGTGCGGGTCAATAATTATTTTGATCCAACCCAACACATTAAATGCGTGAACCGGCGGGTTATAAATGGGTTGGGTTGGATCGGGTTCAACGTAAACCCGCGGGTCAAGTAAATGATAATAATAAAATATTTTTAAATAAAATACAGCTCCTTAAGAGGATGTCACGATCCGAAACCATAGTCCGGACTAACACTAGGACCCAGGTAAGCTTACAGCTCCCGAGACTCATAGTAAGCCTAAACCACAAAGTTCATACATGCCAAACGAATTCCTAAGATGAGTAAGCTCATATTATGTATTTATATATAACAAATCTTATAATCATATTATATCTCGTCCCAAATTCAGCATTTCAAATATTTCATAACTCGAGTCCAATTACATTACACAATATCTATAATATGAGCTAACCTATCTATACATGCATATATAGACCCGTAGGTCATCAACCTAAAGTTATCCGTTAACATGATCACACTCATACATGATTGGAATTATCATAATCCTATCATAGGAATTATTATGATCCTACAATTGCAGAGTTCAATATCAAATAGAAATAAATAAGTTCTTGTACATAACGCTCACAAATTTAAATAATTAATGCAATTAGGGAATTACTTTTCTAACTCTGCGGTAAAGGATACAGAGCTTTAGCCAGGATAAAGAAGAACATAATTCCTGAAAAAGTTAAACAAAATAAATGTGAGTTTAATAATGAATAATAATTATGGCATAACACAGGCATTTACACGAAATGCTTTCTAAAATACTAAAATGAACACATAACTAATCAAGCATATGGCACAACATCAACACTCACAACTAACTACACCTTTAAATAATCAAAGAAGTGGAAATTGGTCAGTAGCGTCACCGAAACCCAATGAGCCGTCCTCACACATGGCCCATTCTCTCAAACATGTGCACCAGGGAGCTGATCCTCCCATACATGGCCGACCGATCTAATCCTCACTTGACTAGCTTTCTCACTTTTTTTTATACTCTTTTCTCTTTTCCATACCAACAGGAGGTCAAACATATGGTTTTTCCATATCATTCATATCATCAAATGCACAGGGGGCGCCGATCTCCCCATACATGGCCGACGGTATCATAGACCGTCTTCACAAACCCGTGGTAACCCACTTCATTCCAATTTGCACAAACAAGGCACAACAATATCACAGCAAAGATAATTAAATATTGCATTTAAATGCAAGTCAGTAAATAATTAAACATTTGATATGCACATGTATAAATACACATACATATATAATTAAATATAAAGGTAATGAATGTTTATGTCATACGAATAGACAATTAATAATAAAATAAAGAATCACAGTAATGTCTTTATGCATGAAACAGACGAGAATGCACTATTTATGGTAATAGAGGAGAGAAGACTCTAGTTTTAATCTGATCCATAGAAGCAATGGACGAGCTCGGACAATCTATAAGAAATAAAATTGAAAACGGAGAAAGAATTAAGTAAAGAATTCCTATGAATTATCCTAAATAAGTCTAACAATGCTTCTGTTAAAGCTATTAATTCAAAATTTCGACGGAACCTCCCCTAAAATAGAACTATTAACCTTATTAAGCAATATCAAATATCACATATTCATTAATCCAATTTACACAGCCATCCGTCAAGCAATCATCTCGACTAATATCCCATCCTCCAATCAATATAATCATCATTTACAATTTCTTATTACAAAATAACAATTATATAAATTTACATCAACTTCTTAAACTTATCTATTTCATCTCCTATATACACATGCGAACTAATATCGTTTGTTACATTTTCACTTAAGTACTGAATTCTATGATTAAACCAAGAATACTAGTAATTTCATATTGTCTTGAAGTTGACTAAGTTCATCCAATGTACTCTTGTCCATATTCTAACTAATATTGTATAAATTTTGTACTTTGTTTTCGTGTAAAAGGCTAAACTCTAAGACCAGGGCTTGGAGACTCTAACTTGAATTGTTTAATAAGGAAGAATACAACTAATGAGCTGAAAATAACATGAAAAGAACAAGGATATATTAATCTCTAACTTGTTTCAAGTAAAACTATGGCATTACTGCATTTAATTACTACCAATGCAAGAGGGAGTCAACTCCTTACTCAAAATTCATATTCATATTATAAGTTGCTCCTGAATTCATATAACATATCATTTCTTATTTCATCATTATCAAAAGTCATAGCCTACGCGCTAACAAATTCGTCATTCAACAAAGAATTCCTATATCACATCAATTCTCTTCTCGTCATTCTCAAACTCAAGCAATAGAATAATATGGAGGCAACTATAACAACAAAACCCAAGTTTATATTTATAATCCACATTTTCCTGACTAAGCTCGTTTATTTTCTATCAAAAGTTAAACATAGATGGCTAAGCTAGGTGCTTCCATCACAATAAAACCTTGGATTCTTGATAAAACACATACTTAATAAGTTGCTTAAAACCTAATTATCATTCAAGCGATTAACAAAGATACATGTTGTCATTGCAAAATAATTATCATTCTTGATCATTAGAACTCCTAATATTAATAACAAATTATGAAAAGCATATTTCTACCATTAAAAATGAACTTTAGTTCAAGCAAAAACCACAATTCTTTCCAGCTAGAGGCTGTCCCTATATCAAATAAATCTTAAGCTCTTGATTAAACACATATATTATAAGCTAGTTAACCTATTTCCCATCAAAATTTTTAATTTACAAATTTGTTTGCATCATATCACAGCCATTATTTAAATCTAATAATATCCTAAAATGTGATTGGTTAAAATTGATATTTAGATTTTTAAATGAAAAACTTCTGAAAAAAATTTTCTAGGTTATTTCAGAGGATTAGTAAAATTATTAAATACACTTATATCACAATTATATAATAATTTTACAAACTACAAATATACTTCAATGACAATATTAAAATTAAATTTCTTAATATGTTCATTATTATCATCATCATAATCATAACAAACAATGAAAACTTAAATTTCCTAATAAAAAAGACGACCAATAAAATTAAAAATACTTAATAATACAATTATATAATATGTTTAATTTAAACTACAATAAACTAGAAAAGCAAATGTAATATTTACTAAATATGTAAATAATTTAGTATTTATATTCAAAATTGCAAATCAAATCAAATCAACTACATAATTTATAATTTATTTATAGGTTAGGTCAAGTATGTAGTGAACCCATAATCCAATCCAATCCGTGAATTATAAAAATAATCCGTCTAATTCAATCTATTATATCTTCAAATCCGCTAGATAGAATTGAATTAGGTTAGGTCGCTCAGGTTGGATGTGGTTATAACGGGTCACGTGCAGTCCTACAAATCATCTATTTACACACCCTAAAAGAAAACACACCCTAAAAGAAATTATTCTTAAACCCTGTCTAGATAGTCATCCGGCCAACCAACCAAATGGTTAGTCAATGGTTAAATCAATTGTTCACAAGAGCACACACATTTTTCAATAACCAATTCCAATTAAACTGAAGTGCTCAAACAACAAAGTATGATAAAACTGTTGCATTACCAAAGGAACAATTGTTGGATACTCCAGTTTTGTTGATGATGCTTGACCATTAGATTATTAATTTATTAATACCTGAATTTCAAAAATATAAACTTTTAATTTAAACCTACCTTGAAAATTTGAGATGCATGGTTCTTTTTTTTTTAATGTTCTTCTTTCTTTTGAAAATTTACATAAGCAAATAGAACACTTTATAATACAGTGTGAAAGAATCTAATGCCAACACAAAAATTGTGGCTACAACTACAAAAGAATATATAAAGCCAATGCCACAATTAACTAGCCTTGTATTTCAAATTATAAAACCGGCATGAGAAATTATTGCGATTACATATTACATATATATATATACACTTGGAGAGACCACAGAAACTACAAAAACTAATTACAATCTCTTGTCTTTTTGGACAGATTGAAATGGTTAGTTTAAATTACTTAACCCGAGTTCCATTCCTTTCTAATATCCCGTCCATAACTCTTCTTGTTCTCCTCCAAGTCCATTGATTCCGATTTATCCCTATTATTCAACAATTTCTTCCCTGAATTCCAATTTGGAACAAAGAATAGCCATGTCGAAGTGCACAAAATAGCATATAGCTTACCCCAGAAGACCAGAACCAAAAGAGTCACAAGAAGTAAGAACAACCCTGTATTAGTGCCATAATACCCTTTCCCATTTTCTTTAACAATGTCTAACATCATCTTCTTGGATTCAATTGGATCGTTTATTACCACCTTGTCAATTACTAATTGCTTGGAATTGGTCGAATTTCGTGGCAAAACAGATGAAGATGAACAGGGAAATGATGCATTTTCTGAAGGAGAATTAGAAATTATTATTCCATCTTTTCTGGAAAATCTTTTGTAAAATGATTTTCCCTTTAATGGGTTTAGGTTCAAATCCTTTTCTACTTTTCCTGATGGATTTGACTTTTTGGACTGCTTCAACTTCTTCATGGATGCTTTTTTCCTGAGCTTTCTAGCCTACAAATTAACAAGACAAAACTGTGATTAGTGCCATAGCTTGAAATATATAACAAAAGCTTAAATCTTTTTTTTAAGAAAGAAAAAAACAAAATGAAATAGACAATATAATAAAACTAACCAATGATGTCTCGAAGAAAACAGCCTTGAGTAGTTGTAAAAACTTCTTACGATTTTTCTTTTTCCGGTGATTGACGACATCTTTCTCCGGCGGCGGCGTCTGAGAAGATGACGGCTGTAATAAAGCCGGGTACATCTGAGGAAAAACAACTCCATCTTTATTAGGTTCCATCTCAATATATTGAATAACGGAATTTCTTTTACCACCGTTTTCACAGCCGAAGCCATCCACAACCACCGACGGTCTGAAGCATAATAAGGAACTCTTTCCTTTACTTATTTTATCATAATAATAATCCCTTGTATCCTTCTCTTTATTTGTCTTGCAATCTTGATGAATCTTTGTAGAGTGCATGGCTATTATAGATAGAGAAAAAAGAATTAGGAGGAGGTTTGGAATTGAGTCTGTGTATTGGCGGGGATTTAGGAGATGTTTGTGGGGAGAGAAAATTGTGGAGAATCTGAGAAAACGAGGGAAAATCTTATAGTGGGTTTGTTGCTTTTGCCGCTTCGCATGCCCTGTTCCATTAATAAATTGATTACTAAAACCTGAAACAAAAGGTTATTTATAAGTATTGATTAATAAAACCGACTCCGATTAGGATTTGGGTTGACTTATAAATTCCAAGTCTGGTCTGTTTGTGGAAACTCTACATTTATTTTATTAGTTTTAGTTATATTTATTTTAAAAAAAAAGATCTCAAATTAAATTATTTTATTAAAAAATAAATACTAAGATATACAATAATGATAACGAGTTGATTATTTAGTAAGGTTAATTACATTCTCAAAATGATTTTCGTGTATGGGAATTTCTGCACATGTCTCTGCATTGACTTGATATATTTAAAAATATTATATATAATTAGTAATAAAAACTCTAAATGATATCGAAAAGTATTTGATGTGCAACATTCTCCATAACTAGCATAGTAAATATAGTTTTTTTTTTCTAAAAAAAAATGGTGATCATATCATTTTTCATCATATATATGAAAATAATATTATATTTATATAATTACAGATAATTAGATCAGTCAAATAAAATATTTTTTCGAATATATTTTATTTACATAATCAGGAGTTTAAAATATAGAATCATCCTTATTAAAAAGTACATATATATACGTGAAGATAGATATGAGAAAAGAAATAAAATAAAATGCAAGAGATGCTCTATCTTCTTATTTGTCGATGATTGATATTTTAGCATTGTATACTACGGTAACTGCTTTGTCGTTTCTTGATCACAAATAATAAACATACAAAAGTCAACTTAAAAGAAACTAAGAGACAAGCAAAAAGAAAAGGTCAACAATTATATTACTCTTTAAAATCTTCTTATCACTAATTAAATGTTTAATAAAAAATAATATTAAATAAATAAAATTTATAGAAGATGTTAGTTTAATTGGTCTTCTCACTTATATAAATAGTTGGAGAAAGTCAATGTTATCTCTATTGTATAACCTCGGTGTTATTTTAAACCCATTAGATCTCCTAACGAATCAAAAGAATATTAATTTTAAAACAGATGTTGTAAAAAGTTTGTGAGAGATAAAAAAAGATAATTAAAAGAGATAATAGAAAAATTAAAATATGTTAATCACTCTAATAAATTTAATTTTAAATAATGATTAGATTTTTTATTCTTCAAATCACTTAATATTTAATTTAAATAAATCATGTTATAACTTATTGACAAATCAAAAATAATGTAACTATGCAGAGAGGCGTTTGGCTTACCGTTATCTCCTGATCGTTTCTTTTTGGGGGACCAAGAGAGCTGCCAATGATTTGGCAATTACTTTGTTGACCACTTTGTTTTTTTGAGTGAAAAGGGAGAGCAAAATGCTAAGAATTACATGCAAAGTTTAGAGTGAGCTGCACCATATAAGTCATGATTAAGCCACCAAATCATCCCAGAAGGGGGATTCCAGCAGTACATGGGTATCTAAAGGGAAATTTCTAGCCATTTTAGAAAAATAAGCATCACATACATTTAGCTTATCTATACACATGGCTAATAACACAAATCCAATTATCCTTTATCATGTTTCCAATAGCCAAAATAAGCTGTTGCAGACCTCCATTAGACTCCATGTTGCCTTGCATGAGTTGAAGCAGTGCTGCATTATCACACTTCACTTTGATATGGGATATTCCCATTTGTTTAGCACGCTTGAGACCCTCAAATATAGCCCATAGCTTCGCCCCAGGGACAGAGCAAGTAGCAATGGCAGTAACAAAGCCTTTTATCCAACAAGAGAATCATCTGTGTTGAGCTTAAGGAAGGGGTCAGTATGAGCTGTCCACGAAATCCACGAATACCAAAGGAGAACCAACGTGGAATCAAGGTTCACTCCAAGGGAAATACTTCGATGCCAGGATTCTAATCATAAGAGAAAGCTAAAATTAGCTACTATTATTATATATTGAATTTCTAGCTTTACATTAATAGCATGACAATTAAATATAATTTTCTTTTTTTGGATGTGCAAATTCAATTCCTACTAATATTTGAATGATAATTTATTAACTATAAACAGTTATGATCCTTGTTATATTGTAAAACAAAAAATAAAAAAGCTATATTATTCATCATAAAATATAAAATTATGAATAATGCTTATTTGTGGCAAAAGCTAACATTATAATTTTAGAACATTGAATTGCTCCAAGAATGGCTACTATTTGGTTTGAACCCAGACAAATTAAATATTATGTTCCAAAACACAAAATAGTAACAAAAAGAAAAACATAAAAACCAACTAGAATGAGTGATTTAAATTAAAACAAACTACTTATTTGTGGAGAAACTATTGCTGTGATTTGAACCTGTGAATAAAAATAAATATCATATTCACAAACAAAAAGAAGAATCACAGAGTCATCAATCGATTATGTGAAACACAACTATCCTTGTGAGGAAGCGCTTAAAAATAAGAAACCGTAGTGATAAGCTTTAAACTCCGTCCTTCAATATTGTCCTTCGCTAATTTGCACGTACAAGTGATTCCTAATATTTCACCATCTCTTACAAAGCAAATTGGTGTAAAAGCTCTTATTTGAAAACGGTCAAGAATTTAGTCCAAGAAGCCTTCACACCATACTCCGTCATTATCATAATCTCAAGTACCGTATTTCTTGTATAAGACAAACAGAGACATCCTCCAATGGTACCAAAAATATAATTCTTAACACACATGTATTCAGGACCCAAATTATCTGGAAAGGAAAGCTCTACAATTTTCTCATTTGCCAAATCAACGGCCAAAATCAAGCCTCTAAAGTCACGAAAAGTAGGGTTTGCAAGCCAGTGAAGAGCCCTATTCAAAAAAAATCCCCGTCCTATGAGTTTCCAAATCATTATCCATGACCAATGTTTCTGTTTCATCGTCCATATCTAGTGCTCCACACGCCCTAACCAGCAACCTCGATGATCCTCCTGAGTATATTTTAGTGAATCTTGGTTCGTAGATCATTGATTCCCATGATTTGCAAATGGTCTTGAATCGCAGCAAGGACTTACGGGTAGTTTTGTGAGTATCTCCTCCGCAATCAAACTTTCCGGTAATTGAGTAGTTTCTCTGTAATTGCAACGTTTTGGTTTCCCTTTTTTTCCATATTTGGTGGAGATATATAGAATGAGAAAATTAGACAATAAATTAAAGAAAATTTCTTGAATAACCAAATGCTTTTCTTTTATATTATACACTTTCATCTCACTATAAATATCTTCTAAGGTCATTGCAAAATAATTTAAAATATGTTAAACAATATCAATTTTAGTAAAAAATAGTTATAAATTGACTAAATTATATTAGTATTAATTATCTAAATAATTAATGCTTATTCAATGGACATACAAAAAAACAAGTGTAAAATTAGAAAAAAATAATTAATACGTTATTGATATTCTAAAATGACAAGTATATTGGCACCAAAAAAAATCTTAAGAAACGCTAGTAGTGAACCACTATAAAAAGCACGTGGATTAGCATAAAAAAATTAAAAAAAAAAAAATTAGCATCGACAATTTTAGTCACTAAAATAATAAAAATTGCATAGCTAATTTGGAAGTATAATAGTATTTCCTAATAAATAATATATATATATTAATTTTGATTTTGATTAAGTCAATCGCTCATCCATCATTATTTTATAAAAATTAAAAGAATATATTTATTTGAAATTTTATTAATTTTTCAAATTTAACAGTGAAATTAGTTAATACTGAAAATAATTAAATATTACATTTATTAAAATACCCAAATAGTTTAAATAAATACATCAATGATGCTAAATTTTATATAAATAGAAAAGGAATACAAAAGAAGTATGGAATTTTAATTGAAATAAAATTAATTCTTGTGTCCTTTTAATAAATAAACGATGTTAAATTTATTTAGATAGCGAAGATGATGATAATGACAAGGAAGATGAAAAAAAAGAGGAAAATAGGTTAGAAACAGAAAATAGAATTGTTAAAACACTGTTTTTTGTTTCATAAAATTCGTTTTCCGATTTTAGAAAGGTTTTTTCAAAAAATAAAGAAAAAAATTAAACAATTCCAAACAAACAGATTTTGTTTATTTTCTAAGAAAAAAAAAAAAAAAAAAAAAAAAAAAAACATAACGTGAACAAAAAACAAACCGCACCGCGTTAATCGTTAACTTTTACTTCAATTTCTTACAAAATCAAATGATAGCACAACTAAGACATAAGCTTGTAGTGACAGGAAACAGAGGAGTCTTGAAATCTTGATTGCTGGAAAGATTGAGAGAAAATACATGCTCTATAAAACCCATCAGATTGACAGCATGCTGATCAAAAATCCAACTCAAAAATTTATATGGTAACAAAAAGGAAGAATAAAAATAACGCATTACAGCTAAAATGACACAAATTAATTATAGCTTTGGATTTTGTAGCTAATTTTACAGCTAAGAATCTTACATTTAACTGCATGTATAGATCTCACTTGAAATTTGAGATAACTTATACATTACATTAAAACAGATTCTAAATAATTCCCACAATCGAGATGAATAGTTAGATGGGTTTTTTTAAATTTTGGAAACAAAACTGAGTTTAGAAGAACTCTTTGGTTGGCAGATAGGAGGTGTTTTCTCCTAAAAAAAAAAAAAAAAAAAAAAAACATAACGTGAACAAAAACAAACCGCACCCGTTATCGTTAACTTTACTCATTTTTACAAATCAAATGATAGCACACTAAGACATAGCTTGTAGTGACAGGAAACAGAGGAGTCTTGAAATCTTGATTGCTGGATAAAGATTGAGAGAAAATACATGCTCTATAACCCATCAGATTGACAGATTCTGATCAAAATCAACTCAAAATTTATTATGGTAACAAAAAGGAAGAATAAAATAACGCATTACAGCTAAAATGACAAATTAATTATAGCTTTGGATTTGTAAGCTAATTTTACAGCTAAGATCTTACATTTAACTGCATGTATAGGATCTCACTTGAATGTGAGATAATTATACATTACATTAAAACAGATCTAATAATTCCACATCGAGAATGATAGTAGATGGGTTTTTTATTTTGGAACAAACTGAGTTTAAGAACTCTTTGGTTGCAGAGGAGGTGTTTCTCCTCGTAAAATTCAAATTAAACTTCAAAGCCTATGAGCAGAAAAACTGGGAATATTTGGCAAACTCAAAGTTTGCTTTAGTTTTTGCCTAAAACACATGGCAAAAACCCCAAACAACAAATTTAAGAACCGTGAAGAGATAACATGAGAGAAAACCTGGCTTTATTGAAGACATTCAGGATGGATAGTCTCATTGGAAAACATCACTCCTACATGCTTATCAGAGATAAGTTACCAGACTTGGCTTTTGAAAAGTCTCCTCTGCTTTCCTGAAGAAGTTCATGAAAAATATTTCATGGAGCCATAAGTCCCTCAATAGTATAGCACAAAGAGTCTGCATAGTCCACTTTAAATAGCAATGACTGCAATGCACTCACATTATACTCTGGATCCAGCTTCTGTTGCCAACCCTAGATGCACAAGAAAGATGGTAAAACAAAGCTTAAACTCATTCAGATTGATCTTTTTGAATCTAAACAAACATTTACTTTTTAAAGACAGAAATAGAAAAGTAAAAAAATGCATGGAAGCAAATATCCTACACTAGCAATATCCATCACCAAAATAATTTTCAATTTTCCATTTCTTTTTATTTGTCTTCAAGACAAATGGAAGTGTTAGTTAAGCTCCATTCAAACTAAAAATAGTACATCATTTAAAAATTACATTGCCCTTTGCTCCAACACCAACACAATCTATATATAGAAAGGGATACTATGCCTAGTTGACATCATACCGAAGTTATCATGATACAAGACCAAATAATCACACATACACAAAGAAGCAAAATAAATTTAGCCATCTACTATTGCACACAGCAAAATCACAATTAATCTGCTCTTTAAGGAGAGTGATAATTTTACATTGTATATGTATAAAAAATCATTACGGCATGCATATTTCTTGCTAACCTCTTTTAATTAGTTTGATTGACAAAAGAATTTTGAATAGAACACAGTCAGAAGATAAGCTCACATTACCTCAAGAACCAAAGTCGTTACCATCACAATGCAAATATCTCCATCAATGTTTACTTTATGGCGCCTAACATGCTCAAGCAGCTGCTGTATGCACTCAGCAGGATTAACTTCATTTGGGGATCTCCAGGAGTTGTAACAGTTCTCAACTTCCTGTTAAAGCAGCAAACTATTTTTATACAGCTCCATACAGGCCTGTGCTATAGTGCATGCAGACTACAACGAAATAACAGAATGTCTGACACAGGGGTGCCAAATCGAAAGGAACAAACACTTAATTCAGCCAAATAATCAATTAGGTCAGCTCTAGAGTTAACTAGCACTACTGTCCTTGCTGTTTATTCTTCTTCAATCGCTAATAATTCCGTGCCTAAGCTATGCGTGCCAGGCCTCTTGTCCCTTTTTCTTTTTATGCGCAGCCTCATTTATTTTGTGATTTATTAAATTCAACTACTTTCCACCTCACTTTCCTGTCTACTTATTCTACTGTTGATCATTTCAGCTCTCTCCCTTTAATTCTGGTTAATATCCAAAGAATGAATAAAATTTAGTAAGTTCTAACCCAGATTGTGAACTGGTAAAAAATCAAGCAAAAGGTAACAGGATATAGCCGTTAAAGAAGAAGAGGAAAAATGACACAAACAATTGTTAAGGCAGGCACTCCTATTACAGTGGAAATTATGAGTTATAAATGCAAAGAAAATATATTATATATCAATTCAACTCTCAAACAGTTTGCAAAATCTAACCACTCCACCTACTTTATTGCCCCCAACCGTTTCTCATATTCAATTCAAATCAATTAAACATTATCACAAAGTTACACTTTTGACATTAAGTGAATGAAATGTACCAGCTAAAATAAGTGATCTCTACGAGAAAAAGTTGTGTAAGCAGAGCAATATTATGATTTTCTATGAATTCTATTAAAAGCTTAAATTGCCTTCAGAAATTGGTCAACCTCATGTAGCCACTCCAATTGACAAACTTTGGTCTTCCTAAAAAATTCACATCACATACACATAAAAATAAGAAATACAAATCGTACAATTACTTAGTCCAGCCTGAATTAGCAGGCATAAACCCAGCAAAAGATAAGTGAATATGGATAACTTCTTTATATCATATCAAACCCAATCCTAATACGAGCGGACAAAACTGATAGAATCTCTCTGGTCGGTTCATGTTAAGCTGAGATATATATATATGTAGAGTCCTTAATGTAACATACCTGGTAGCTATTATACTGTTAGAACTGTGTTAAACACTGATGTAAACCTTCTGTAAGTGCATTAACCTGACCTTCCAATTTGAAGCACAATTTAAATTTCCTTTACAGTCTCATTCATACATAAAACAGCTGGCAAATACAATTTGGCTACATCAAGGTCACCACAGCATAACTAACAATTCAAACGAGCAAGACACAATATTTTACAATCTTGTAGGCGTGCTCGCATAAATCCACTTCAACATTGACCATTAGGAAAACAAGGGACAGCAAGGGGCAGTTGGTTTGTCACAATTGCCAATAATATCAATCAATAATTTGCAATGCTTACTGTTGGAAAACATAATAGGAAGACTCCGAAACAATCTATTTTCTATGGTAGGGTTTAGATACACAAAAGAAAACTTATAATTTTTCTACGGGTGTTTGAGTGTGACTGCATCATATACTGTGTTTGTGTGCATGTGTGGGTGTTTTTGTGTGCAAATATGATGAAACATTATTGAATGCAGATCCCATAGATTTGATAATTTAAAAATGTTAAAAAATGGGCTTTTGATAAATTGAATGGCAAGCATGTGATGGTCTCTTAAATTGTTTCCCGTGAATCTCATATTACAACAACAATAAGGCCTCATTTGGGTAACAAGACTAGCACATCACCTCCCTACAACAGACAATAGCAAATGCCTACCTCAATGAAAGCCTTAGGATCTGGGCACTTTTGCTGTTTAGATAATCTAAGTATGCACTCTGCAGCTGTTCGACCATCTAGAAGAGCAACAGCCTTAAAGAATTCTATTACATTATGCCGATCTCTTTTAGAAAGTTCAGCTGTCATTCCCACATCAAGGAATATGACTTGTGGTCTTGATCCAAGAAGTTGTTTATGTGATATATTTTCATCTGTTAATCGAACAAGAATATTTCCAGGATGCATGTCTGCATGGATAAAATTATCTATCTGCAAAACAATTGGCATAAACATGAATCAGTTAATCATTTATCTAGCCAGACAGCAATTACAGGTATTTATATTTATAATTTGTAACCAGAGAACATATGAGGATCAAAGGTCATTCATCTAACAAAGAGAAGGGGGAAAAAGAAGAAATAGAACAGGGGCTTCATGTCACATGTGAAGCAGAAAACATGAATCTCATTATTCACCTGGTTCTGCCTCTGTACTTTATAAATGAATGCCTTTTCTGAGAGCGAGAGAACAGAAGAGAAGAGAAGAGAAGGGCAGGACAAAATAAGAACATTAGACAGATCAAGAATTACAAGGCTAATGATATCTCGATCCTCTACAAATGAAGCTCTTTGACTTTGCTAAAGTTGGCCACGGACACAAAAAGGTCTAGGTCCAAAAAAAAAATGCCACATTGATTATCATGGCAAGAATTGATCCACGAATGCTCTGGCATATTTCCAACTAAACACACCAAATTCCAGCAAGCATGTTATATATTCCTCACAAAAATCTTTTAGCGTCCTTTTCTCTTCTAGTACCATAGAAATTAGCAGGTAATGCATGCCTTAGTTTCTCGATTTTGATGGTGTATTCTTTTTTCTTACTTATAATTTGTTGCCTTAAGCTTCATGAAGGCTATACCACTGCGGTGTGTGCAAGCATACAATTGCAGTATGTAGAGATTTACGGGCAATGAATACATATAGGATTTTGTATTAACATGGTTAAAGAAGTTAAATGCAGTATCAGTTTTAACTTGATGTGGAATAACACTTTTCTAGCAGGTAAAAAATGAGAGCGCAGATATGAATGATAAATTATAATAATATGATGAAAGATCAGTCAATGAAAAATGGATATTGAAAATGCTAAAAGGCCAACAATAAAGTATTTAAAGCTGAAAATCATAAGCATAATACAGCATATGCCTCATGGAAAATAATACTCCCTACCTATAAAACCATCAAACACCATTACCATGGATATTCTAAAATAACTGTGGAATCATTGATGTGTTTCAGGACCTATAACCTTAGATTATAGAGTGACTCACTAAAAATAAAAATATATCATAAATCCTGGATCAAGTGGAAAAAGTGCCAAACATTAAAGCTGATCATTAGTATAAGCAGGAAGAGAGAAAAAAAAATAAGAAAAAGAAATGAGAGAATAATATACAGTACCAAAAGCATCTTTAAAAGTGCTTGTGTTCCAATATGTGCAAGGGCACTTCTTATTCTTTTGTCTCCATCAAGTTCATCAACATAGTGCAGGACGCTTTTGCCTTGTTCATAGGTTTCCACAAGAACAGCTGGGTGCACCAGGGGATATAGAGGCCTTGGGAAAGAGACATCCTTCCATTTCCGGAAATTATAGATGAAACGACTCAAATGGGCTGCTTCTCTTGCCAGATCAACTTGAGATATCATGAAAACCGCAAATTGTTGTATACTTTCCTCTAATCTTGACCATTTTAGTGTTGGTATAAGCTTTGAAATTTTGGCTACAAAATTTATTAATACAAAGTCCCTTCTAATTGCTTCTGCAACACTTGGATGTCGAACCTTTACAGCAACTATAATGGGTTCAATCTCCTTACCAGGGTATCTATATTTTAAAGTCGCTCGATGAACTTGAGCAACACTTCCAGATGCTACAGGTTCTTCTTCAAAGTTAGCAAAGATTTCATGCAACTTACGCCCAAATGCTCTTTCAATAGTCATTTTAGTGAAGGAAAAACTATGTGATGGTGCTTTAGCATGAAGTCTTGCAAGTTCAGCACACAGATCTTGGGGAAAAAGATCTGGTCTTGTTGCAGCCCATTGACCCCATTTGATAAATGCTGGTCCTGCTCTTTCAAGTGTAAGCCTAACTACATGAAGCCATGCTTTCCTAAACTCATTGCTAAGAGAATCTGCAAATGGAGCCATAGCTATGCATGGTAAAAACAGAACTGCCAAATAAACAGCTCTAAGTAACAAAATTAGGCCCTCAAAAAGTGATAGCACTAATGCACTCAAATAAACATGATCATCCAGTGCTTGTGAATACATATTATCTCTTATTGCTAAGCTTTCTGCTTCTGCCCACGTTCGATGAGTCCAAGCAAGCTCTCCAATAACAAAGGCAATAACACGTGGAACCACCAAATTTGAACGCACCAAAGCCACACTCACTGCACGAGCCATCCTACTTATTGGAGCTAAAGTTGGTCTATTATACAAACATATTTGAGAAAACCTATTCCAAGCAACTTGAGCATGGTAAGGAATGGCATTACTAGCAGTATATGCACCAAAATTCCTACAGCCACTACAATTCAATAAATTTTGCCTCACTTCAGGTAACAAAAATGGAGAACTCCCTGCAACTGAATGTTTACACCAGAAGTATAATCTCCACATGGTGTAAGGGAATCCAAGCATGTAAGATTCCCCTTTACTATTTACTTGTGAGAAATTAGTCTTTCTGCTAGCGAGAACAGAACGTGTAGTCCATCTAAAATTTTGAAATGCCAAAAATCTGCAGATGTAAATGCCTATCTGTAACTCCATTTTGCATTCTAACAATCCAATAAACAGGAAATTGTAGAACAAAGGAATAAAAAAAAAACTTTAATTAAAAAAAAAAAAGTAAAGAAAACAAATGAAAGATAAAAATTTTCTCGTGTATAACCACAAAGAAAGAAATTAAAAAAAAAAAAAAAAAGGAATTCAGCTGAATAAAATTTTAAACCTTTACATTTGCTGATCTCTTTGACGACGATCGTTGATTGGCTCTAAGCATTTCTTTTAAAGAAAAATTCAAAACGACAAGCCGGCGACGCCGTCGGCCATGGTTCAGCAGCTATGGTGCCTAATAGTAGGAGGGTGGCAAGTCCGTGCTTACATTAAGTGCTAGCGTGTTCAGAGATGTGCCAACAGCTGCAGGATCGAATAATCTGGTTCCCGTCAACTGGTGGAAGTGAGTAACTGGGACAAGAAGACGCTTGGCAATCTGGTGGTCTTTTCGTTCTTGCTTGTCCGACGAACTTGTCGACGACATGTCGCTTCTTTGTAGCTCACGGTCTCCAATTTTAGTGGACCTACTAGAGTTAATCGAAATCAAGCCCAACAAGTAAAACCCAACTGGGCTAAAATATAATGGACTAAGTTTTGTAAATATAAAATGTACTTTTCACTAAAGACGACGTCAGATCTATTGTACTCTTAAAATCAATACTTCCTCCGCTTCACTTTATCAACAATAAATAGGCATTTTTTCTTATTTCAGTATTCATTTAGAACTTTAAAAGTGTATTAATTTTTTTTTCAAATTTACCTATATTTATTAGATATTTTGTAGCAAAATTAAATGTGGAGCTTTTAGTTTTAAGATGGACAATTTAGATATTCTATCATATATTTTAGAAAATCGACGTATTCCAATCATTTTTTTAATTTTGTGAAAAGATCAAATATAACTATTAAAGTGGAATGGAGAAAATATTTTTTTAATATTATACAACCTAGTAACAATCACGTCTACTTGAAATATTTAATAAGTGCAAGTCTATAAATTAAAATGTTTAATAAATTAAAGTAAAAATTGAAAGTGTCATGAAATTTATCATAAAAATGTATTTTATATATTAATCATACTATAATTTTTTCTTTTTGTGAGTATTTTGGTCGCAACTTAATTAAGTTCTCTTCTTCCCAAATGAGTCTAAGAGCGTATTCCTCTCACATAATCTTGGTACATTTAGAAATTTGTAACCAACTGATAATTCTATAAAAATAGCTCAGGTTGGAGTTTTTTCTATCTTAAATATAATAGTCTAAAATCTTATTCTGGTTCATCTAATTCTAATGCCAAATGAATTTGCGGCGCCCAACTTCCAATCTCTCCCTCTCCTTCTCTTTCGCTTTACCTCAACGTGAAAACTGAGTTTATATTAGGAGATGTATTAATTATATATAAATAACTTGTTCTGTGATGCATGAACACATAGCTTGTTTACACTTCAAGCAGGAGAAGAGGAAATAGAATTTAATCATCTCGGTCATCGTCAAGAATGAAAGCTCTCATTCTCGCTGGAGGGTTCGGAACTCATTTAATGCCTTTAACCGTTACTGTACCGAGGGCACTCGTCGAATTTGCAAACAAACCCATTATTCTATATCAGGTTTTTCTCTTCTTTCCTTCTTAAAAGTTCTTTCTTTCTTGCTTTATCTGTAAAAATGCCCTTAATTTCCTCTCTTTTCTTGGTGGATTATAAATTATAATTGCCTTTAATATTTTGAACCAGCTCAAAATACCTTAGTTATGTGCTTTTAAGAGGAAGCGATCCTGGCAAGTAAAATTTCTGTTGTTTTTTATTTTCAAACAGATTGAAGCATTGAAAGGTGTGGGAGTAAGTGAAGTGGTTTTGGCAATCAATTACAAACAAGAGGTAACCCTCAAGGATATTTGGTAATTGGAAATGTATTTGCTTGAATTTAGCTTCAGGTTTTAATGTTGGATTTCAAAATGCAGGTTATTCTTGAATTTTTGAAGGAGCATGAGAAAAAGCTTGGAATTAAGATCACTTGTTCTCAGGAGACAAAGCCACTGGGCACAGCTGGTTCATTGGCTTTAGCTAAAGATAAACTTATAGATGGTACTGGTGAACCCTTTTTTGTTCTGAATTCAGATGTCATAAGTGAGTATCCCCTAATGGAAATGATTGAATTTCACAAGGGCCATGGTGGACAAGCTTCAATTATGGTAACTGAGGTAATTTACATATTATTCTAATTTTAAGTAAAAAAGAAACATTGTATTGTAAACCCATAACAAGATTCGACATCTATTTCCATTTACAAATTGAACTAGACTCCCATTATCTTTCTCTGTATGCTAAAATTAATGACATCCTTTTTATGCAAAAGGTGATTGATCCATCAAAATATGGTGTTGTGGTTATACGAGAAGCTACAGGGATGGTGCAAGAATTTGCTGAGAAACCATCAACATTTTCCAGAAATAAAATCAATGCTGGAATCTACTTGTTGAATCCATCTATTCTTGATCAAATTGAACTCAAGGCTACCTCAATTGAAAAGGAAGTTTTTCCAAGAATTGCAGAAGACAAAAAACTGTTTGCAATGTCCTTGCCTGGATTTTGGATGGATATTGGACAGCCAAGAGATTACATTGCAGGCCAAAGACTATACCTGCAATTCTTGCAGCAAAATTCCTCTGCAAAATTGGCCACAGGACCTAAAATTGTTGGAAATGTTCTGATAGATGAAAGTGCAGTAATAGAAGATGGATCGCTAATCGGCCCAAATGTAGTGATTGGTCCAGATTGCAAAATAGAGTCAGGCGTTAGTCTTTCATTTTGTACTTTACTGAGAGGAGTTCATATCAAGAAAGATGCTTTTATCTGCAGTAGCATTATGGGATGGAATTCATCTGTAGGAAGAGGCGCCCGGTTGCAGAACATGACAATATTAGGAGAAAAGGCAAAGGTTTGCGATGAAGTTTTCAGTAATGGAGCTGTTTTGCAGCCTCATGAAGAAATGAAGTCTAGCATTTTCTAGCTGGAGATTTGATTTGACATGGAAAGTGAAATACTTCCAAGTTATGTTTTTAAATTCTGATGAGCGGTTTGTGTTGGTAGTGACACTGCCATGTGAATTGTTTTTATGCTTTATATGCAAAACTGGATAAGATCAATGCTGTGTTAATTTTTTTTTATTAAAAAAGACTTGATCTTTATATTAATCATATGCTTATCTGAATATTTGCAAATAATGAGAACGAAAAATATTTCTCAATCTACAATTCTTATTATTAATAAATTTTCAAAAAATAAAAAAAAAATGTGATGTTTATGGAAGTGAAATATTTTTGCAAATTTTAACAAATCCATTATAACATAACCCCTCAAAACCTCAACATGTTATTTATAAAGTAAATTAAATTAATACTTCTCTAATATATCAATCAATAAATATTTATAAAGCAAAAAAACAATAGAAAATCCAAAAATAATAATAATAATAAAATTATTAAAATAGATAGAAAAAAATAACACAAGCGCATATAAATTATTTTATAAAAACCTAAGCAATGTAATAGAAATTCTAAAGAGAGGGTAAAAATCCCTATTAACTTATTCTAAAATCAATTAATAATTCCATAACATAATTACTATTGAATAGGAAATAAAAATGCACATGCAATGTAAGAGAGGGGAAGACACTTTGTCAGTTTAATTAATACTTTTTTATTTTAACAAAATATAAATGAAACAGGAATTCAAATATCAAGCCAATAAATTGACAACTACTAACTACAGTAACCCTTGATAAAATCCTGAACACACTGCTTTAGACCTCAAAATCCTTTTTTTTTTTTTTCTTTTTTTCCCTAACTAACAAAAGTTAAGTTGAACAAGTCTAACTAACTGTCAAGCCTTTCAAAAAAGTATAGATACCCCATATCTTTGGGAGGGTTTACAGAAGCCCCGACCTTGTTGTCGTTGAAAATAGTCCATCTGCCATCTTTAAATACATGCGCAACATAATGCCCGCATTGCGTAGAGGTTCCAATGTGGCTCACTATTCCGAAAAGCCTGTATCCTGCATAAAGGTATACAACCAACATTTTAATTCGGATATCTTGAACTAATTAGGTCAGCTATATGAAACTTTTGTTTCCAGTATCTACTCTGATCAAATTAATAGCAACACAAAAGCAAAGTATAAAACTAGAAAAAAAATTTTGAAATTCCTGTTATGGAAAAAATTTTTTGGAAGGGAAACTTTTAAATCATTTAATATTTTAATAAATAAGATAAAGCATAAAAAACAGATGGCAGCAACTAACTAGGGAGCTGTTATCACAAGTAGCAAAATTATCATATGGAGGTACGTAATTTACAATTTGAAGAAACAGAATCGCATAAATAAAAGAAGTCATAATTGTTCAATAACTAGAAAATTTTTAGTTTGTGTATTAAAGGTAAGGAAAAATTGCCCCAATGGGCAACTTTGAGCTTTATTTTCCTACAGTTTTTGTATTTTCTTGTTTTGCCTTTGTGTAGAACCAGGCAATGAAACATTAGTTCCAGAAACAAAAGGGAATGGAATAACATTAAAGAGAACCAACAGATCAAAGAGTTTTTATGAATGAGAAAAAAAAAAGGATTCTATTTTAATACATGGGATGAGAAATACTATGCAATTTTTTGCGTTTAGATATTATAAAAAGATTAGGAAAACCAGATTTCACAAATTCGAATCCCAGCTGGGTTTATGGGAAAGGGAACTCTACACTCCATTGCATAATTCATTTCAATTCCAATGTACCGACAGAAAAACACGAAAGGAACAACAAAGAATAACAAATCCCAGCAGGAATACAAAACTTGCCTTATAAAACAATAAAACAAAACAGTTCAAAATAATACCATAAAAAACTTTCCCCAAAAAAAGTACTGCTAAAATTTTTAACCAGCAAATTCCCACATTGCATCTAATTAACATCATATTTGAAGGCAAAAATGAACTAGAACTCGATAATGTTTCAAAAAATTATTGTTGCAATCCTTATAATAGCGTCTAACAGCCAACTGTATAGTTATAAATTAATTTCAAAAAATTATTGTTGCAATACTTATAATAGCAACAAGTAGCCAACTGTACAGTTATGCATTGCTTATAGCCTGCTTAATCCTAGTTGAGGCCATCAGAAACTTCAGGGAAAAGAAAACAACACAACTAAACCGCAAGGAAATAAATATAATCATAATAAAAGCAGCAAACAAAAGCACAAAGATGATGAAAACACAATGTTAGCAAAACAGCATAATCAAAACAAGGGGCAAAAGACTTACTCCCTCCTCCATCAGGCAGTCCAGCATCATCCGGGTTAGGTAAGTTACTAGATGTGGTGGCATCCATATCAGATGAGACAGAAGCATCGGGATTGCTGAATATCCAATCTGTTGCTTTCTCAATGTCCCCACCCTGTGGAATTCACGCATTCAAAAAATGGTTAAAAATATTACCCCTAATTATAGCACAACATAGTCGTTAGTCACTTTATTCCCAAGAGAATGATAAGTAATAGAATATCTTACCGATGCCTTTAGCGCTTTCCGAGCTAATTCTTCTTGAAAGCCAAACGAAATCAAAGTATCAACTTTCGATTGGTCAACAACTTCAGTACCTAGTACCCCTTGAGAAATCGGAACATCTATATCTGCAGGAGAACGTGCTCATATTAATTATCACAAGACAATATTTGTTTTCACATAAATAAAATCTCTTGTGAGAGCAATACTATTCTTAAATACCTGGATCATCCATGTGAGAAAGTAACCAATTCATTGCCTCTTCTACTCCAGTGTTCAAGGTATTTATAGCAGCTTTCTGACAGTGAAGATAGTTGAATCCCATTGAGACAAGCTGGGAAACAATATCCTCATTGGCCACAAGCTGCTTTGATTCTACCTCATCACTAGGGTCTGCATAGTACATATATAACCAAAAAAAAAAGAATATCAAGTGAAATCCATTCTCAAAAGGAATAGAGATTGGAGAAGAATGTATAACAACGATTAAAGGGATCATGTTCAAGTGCATAAAATGTACACATAAAGACAATGCCTAAATAGTGTACAAGAATTCAGCGATTCATATAATTATATTATTGCGAAAATGAAAAATCATAAGCAGATATTCAAAAGAAGCAAATTGTAAATATCTGCCTTGAGCTTTAAAGACAAAGCATCACCCTGTTCGATGGTCCACCTACTCAATCCTGCAAGCAAACTCCTGCCAGGAAAAAACTACCTTGAAAGGTGTAACTTCCACTCCTAAAGAACCAGTGCACCTGAGGAAAAACTCTCATTTCCCCAGAGCACAAACACCGACAAGACTGCACCACGGGCAGATAACTTACCGATGTCAATTAATGAAAAGGTCCTATCAACACAGATGGTACATGTTGTGAGCACAGATTTGATTGGATAACGGTAAAAGAGATGTGGTACAAGAGGCAGTGCAGAACAAGGCTATTAAAAGGAGTATATTGCAATCATATGAAATGAAAGAAAATCAATGTCACATTCTATATGTCAACTGTCAAGCACAATGTTTGCTGCATAGACAATCCTGTCCTCGCTTAATGTTACGGTTTATACTATGACTGGATTATCACAGAAAACATAAAAATAGAACTAACATGTTTTCTTTAACTATTTCATATAGAAAATAATAACAAAGGAATACTGGAATTCTAGAACAGAACACTTACCACCCTCTGGCAACAACTGCTCTCCTGGTTGAAGGCCCCTGCTTCGCATGTGACTGATATCTATGATATCAGGAACATCTATATAGACGTCTGGATAAGAAAATGCAATGAAAAAGAATAGTTACTCACTATAGCATCAATTTAGAACAAAAATGAACTGGAGGAAAACTAATGTTGCCAATGAAAATTTTACCAAGCTTTTTCGGCACCCAGCCCTCCTCCATGACAAATTTACGCATGTGCAACACCAAATAATCAGGGAATGAAGTTAGACCAGCAGTCCTGCAGAAAGTTAAATTTACATCAGTGTGAACACTCTTATTGCATGAGTTTTCTATATTGTAACATTTAAGCTCCATCAAAGTAGCTCTTTTATGCTTTTTATTACTGCATTTACAATAGAAAGACGACAGAGAGAGAGAGAGAGAGAGCTAATTAACCAAATGGAGTCTTACTTTTGGGCTGTTGTCTTAGCTTTCAACGCACTGCTATAAAAATCTTGTATCTGCTCTGGAGCTGAAAAGCTAGCTAGGCATGCCTCCAGAGGTACTCTTGGGCGTACAATTTCCACACTGGATCTGTTAGAAGAAAATAAATTAAAAGGAAAAATTCTGACAAATAGGATAGGACAAAAGAAAAACATTTGACTTACGCGTTTTTCCCCTCTGAAACGTCTCCCACCTTCACTTTTTGGAAGGCTTCAAGTTCTTCTAGAATTCCCAAATAGTTAAATCAATATATAAAATTCCACTAAAGAAAAAAAAAAAAAAGAATGAACATGGGAATCTACCTTTATTTGTAGCTTCATGTAATGGAATATTCAAAGAAAGAATATAGTCAAGCCTTCTATTATAAGCAACCTTTCCAGATGAACATAATATTCGCTCCTCAATACCAAACTTGAAACTCCTTGAGGGATCTAATGTGGGCTTCCCACCATTAGCCCGTTCAACTTGGTCAAGAAAATGTAGGAAAAACTCCAATGCATCCTACACAAAAGTTTATGTCAAATATATTTCAAAGCAGTTCCTTGAGGCAAGAACAACTGTATGTTATGTTTCCCTACCCAACTAATGCCTTTGCAACTTGTGCCATAACAATAGTCATATTTGCTCACTAATGGTACCATCTACTAGTGCTGACCAAAAATGCAGTCAACCCTATTCACCTATTTGACCCAATTGCATTTGACCCGAATTTGTTGGGTTCATATAATCATGGTCCATTTCAACCAAAAAAAAAACTAAAAACACTCACTGATTAGTTCAGTTGACATCGGTACATTTTATAATCAAGAGTCACAAATAACACGACACTGCCTAATTTACTTTCTTATAAAAAACAGTTTCTACATTCCCCATCTATCTCTGCATGTTTTTTCAATTACTTCATCCCTATTCAGCCCGCTTACTATGCCTCGACTTAAAAGCACCATCAATCTCTTCTCTCTTATCCTGCTACTTAATAAGATGTATTTATAGTAGCGAGTATTTGCAAAAGAGATATGATCAACGTGAACCAAACCTGGAAAAATATATTTTTGAAGTACTTAGATTCATGAGGTTCTTTTCTATTTCTATGAACTTATGTCATGCATGGTTGTACTGAAATTTGAGTTTTTTTTTTTTTTAATTTTAAAGTTCAGCACGTTATTGCAATTTGGGTATATAATAATAATAAATAAATAAATCTGACTACCAAAGGGTGTCTGCAGGTTTAACTCCTTTTTTTTTCTAGGAGATATAGAATAACAGAAAATTACTTGTTCAACTTCTCTTCTTTTTTTACTTAATCCAAACTAGGCATAAATATAATGTCACCATAAAGCCAATAAACAATTAGAGTATACTATAAGTCGTGTATTCTTCTTATTTTTATTTGCTGAAAAATGTAAAAGAAATTATGTTCCGACCACACAAAATAAATAATAAATAAATAAACTTAAAGCTTAGCAACTTCCATGTTGATTAAGGAAATTGTTTTTAGACATTTTAATCATTCTAATCTTACTTATAAATGTGATTCACAATATGCCAACAACCAAATTATGAGGTTTTGTGCAAATAATAGTTCTATATCCTATTGAATGTACCTGTTGCCTCATAGAAGAAAACTCAGGATGGCTGGCAGCTATGACTGACTTGAACATACGAGGAGGTATCCCTTCTTGTTTCTAATATTTGCAGAAAATGGACAAAATAAAAAATGGTGAGACATCACATTAAAAAAATAAGAAAAGCATACATGACAGAAACTGAAGTGTAATGACATGAAACTTCTAGACATATTTAAGTAACAAGCATAACACACTAATACACGAAATAGAGACAATATATGAAATATTATTGTTCAATAGAAAACCCCATATGCTTATTTAAAAATCTCCAAGAACAGGCCTTAGATGCTACCTCTACCAAAATTATATAAGAAAAATCAATAAAAAAATTTCCACAAGGAAAATTTCCTTGGAAAAAGTTAGTTTTGCCCCCCACCCAAAAATTTGAAAAATTATATTTTGCCCCCTCTTTCTTTTTCTCCTTTCTTTTCCACCAAAAGTTTAGTTTCTAGTTCCACCCCTGTCCAAGAATAAATCACAGCCAGTAACTGGAAGAAAAGTTCAGACAGAAAGCTTACAGATATTCCTGACGTTAGACTATTTGCATTATCACCTTTCTGGATGATTAAGAAGAGCTAATTAGGAAGAGGAAGAAAAGAAAAGACAAAGTCATACAGGATAACTTATTGTTCCATTTTTCATACCTCCAGTGCTGGAACTGAGTATTTACCAGATAGCACGCCATGTGCCAGCTTGGTTCTGTCATTTCAAAACAAGACATGAGGATATACATGATTAATGGAAATAAGCAATTCAATTACCCTGAAAACTAAATTATAAAGTTTTTTGCAATAGAAGTGGATGATTTAGTATATTAAGTCACTAAAAGGAAAAATAAATCAGTAAAAAAATAAATAAATAAAAGAATAAGAATAGAAAAGCTACCAGCACAGAAACAAATGAGCAAATATGGTTGACGGATGGGGGAAGGAAGAAAACCATATTGTACAAAATTAGACAATGCTGATATATCAATATAATTTAATCTTGGTCATAGAATGACAGATTTATAGTGTTGAATTAGATTCGCAGTTAACAAACTAATGATGTAATTATTCAGCTAAGCAGACTCTGCGAGAAACATTAGGCATTATAAGAGTGCAAATTACTTACAACTGCATATTCAAGTCCACAGTTGGGTCAGCAGGAGCCATCTCAAATGCCGTTTTTAAGCTCTGGTTCATGTAGTATCTGATAACATAATCACACCAAGCAATAAGCAGATATAAATACAGCATGGACTAATAGCAAAATAAGCCAGAAACTGATAATGACATCATTTCAAACTTAGCAATTTTAGCCCCTAAGTTTTGCTAATGACTCATTACTTTTGATTATACAAAAATTATGAATTACTTTTGATTATACAAAAATTATTAATTGCTTCTGATTATACAAAAATTATGAACTGTTCACCACAATTTAGTCCGTGATGTTTTAAATTATATTGCCCTTTAGTCCCTAAATTATTGAATATATAGACATATGCATAAAAGGGAACTGACCGTGTACAGAAGGAACGTGTTGAGAACACAACTTGCATTGTTGCTGCCATGTAGCAACTGTAAGAAAGCAAAATTAGCAACATAAAATGAAAATACTGCTCAAAATCTATAAAGACAATGTTGAAGTTACCTGTTACCAAGATTCACTAGTCCTGTATAACCTGGTCCAAAAATTGGTTCCAATTCCTCTCCACTTTCTTGGATACGGTTCCAATCAAAGTTGAAATTTTGGTCAAGTTCCCTTTCAGCAGTTGTCATTTCAGTCTGAAAACAAGAACATCATGACAATTTTTCAGTCAAACCTGAACAATGGTCTGATGGGTCAGTATGGAAACAATTGATGTTCAAAGGCCATTGAAAGGAGGGAAAAGAAAAGTTTAGAAATTTTATAAGTCTATCTTACAATTTTTAGATAACTCTAAAGTAAGTTATAAAAAAAAAAAAAAATCAATATTTTTTGTATTTAATTTGTATTTCTTTCAGATTTTTAACTTTCACTTGTATACTTCAAAACCCAATGTCCGCTTCACCAAGTGCAAGGCCTATTACAAGAATATTTTTTTTAGTGGGGCGATAACTCTGAAAAGACAGATTTCCCATCTTTTCTTTAATCTCTGGCGAAATACGAATCCTACTTCCACCCCTAAACCCAAGCCTATTAATCAGAAAAATGCCCAGATGATGTCAAAGTGTAATAGAAACCAGCTAGCCCAATACTAGGGTTTTTAAGATTTCGAAAGGCTGATGCCAACATAACACATTAGCCTATTTTCAAGAACAGTCTAACAAAATTGTGAAACATCATTGAAGGGTAAGACATCAGGTGGTCAAGTTACAAGTGTAGTTCTAGACTAATCATACACAAACAGAAATTGCCAAGCACCTCTTGGATTGATCACAGAACCTACACTCACAAAATACAAGTCGGTATGAGATCCTGAATTCAAACTCAAGCGTGATATGGAACTATGGGAAAATGACTGCAAACATTTTGCATATGCTCAAAACTACAACAATCAATATATAAAAGCGTGATATGGAACTATGGGAAAAATGACTGCAAACATTTTGCATATGCTCAAAACTACAAATCAATATTATATTATATATATAATATATATATATATATATATATATATATATCAAACCATTGATTGCTTTGCTCCGATATTTTCAACTTCTGATGAATTATTTCTATGAAAAGTCAGAATGAATTTCACTCATGATTTCCTCTGATGTTATACTTGTATTCATTGCCATATGTCATTATCCAAACATCAAGAACTATACACATGCAAAGATGACAACTGTCAGGCACATTTACGTCATATATAGGTTTTGACATGAGCTTCAATATAACAACAACAAATGACTGTGAAGACTAGCTCTGAGGAACATAAGAATCAGTTTTAAACATGTTAGCAAGAACACAATCCAAACCATTCTAGGTATCAAAATGAGAAGCCTTCTAGATCGTTGTGCATTTAGCAGATACCAAACAAAGGGAACTAACTGCAGTTGTTCAATGGTCAATCTTTATTCTGATTTTAAAAACAAAACTGCTGATTAAACAGCAATAGGATCACAAAATATGCAAGAATTTGGCAGGGATAATGATTAGCACCAAGGAACATAAGAGAGATATAGAGTAAACAATCAGCTGAAACACCACAAAAGAACTGATAACAAAGGAGTCATCTACCAAATATAATTGCTTTTAATATAAATTTGACACCAATTTTCCTTTTCAGGATGCCATGCATTGATAAGAATTTCTTGAGACTAATCAAGTAAAATCCCCACTGAAGAGTATGAGGATTGAAATTTTATATCATTATCTTGCAATAAACCATTTATTGCATGTTTACAGGCATGAAAACACTTTATATTTATGAGGTGCCTCCCCACTACAAAGCCCTGCATATAACCTTAATAATATTGAGGCAGAGGAGGGCACTGCCCCCTACCCTTACCCCACCCCCCACCCCAATCTCCACCAGTACATACATAGTAATAGTATATCTGCATTATAGAAAAGCTCTTTCATCTTTCAAATCAAACCTTTATGCCCATATATCCATAAACATTTTACCAGTTGAATAAACCAATTCAATCATGTAAGATTAACATTTAGAAAAAGACACTGTTTTTCAGCTACAAAACTCACACCAATAACTTTGAAAAATAATTGAAAACAAAGGTGAGACCTTTTTTTCTTTTTTTTTTTTTTTTTTTTTTCTTTTTTTTTTTTTTTTTTTTTTTTTGCTCATTTGTTTTTTTTTTTTTTTTTTTTTTTTTTTGCTCATTTGTTGTTGACATTGAAACCCAAGATCCAACAGTACTTAGGATTGAGTGAAAACACAAGGACCAGAACAATAAATTAATTGCATTTCTGAGGACTTATGTGTGTGTGTGTGTGTGTGTGTGTGTGTGTGTGTGTGTGTTTGACACAGCAAATGTTAAGTTTAATATACACTACAATATAAACAGACATCCACAAAGAGGTAACTGACCTTCTGTAACGATGAGAAATCAATGCCAAAAAATGCCAGATGCTGTGCTAAAAGTGGATCCAAAACACTCTCATCCTCGGGATAAGAGAAAACGTCTGAGCTGCCACAATATGTATAACATAGTAAGTTCCAAGAAAATGTAATAACAGATCCCAAATTTGAAGTAAACAACTGGCAGGGAATGGACTATTCAAATATTAAAGGCTTGTTCAATTTCTAATTCTTGAAATTGGAAAAGATCGTACATACATAAGAGCATATCAAAATGGGATAGCAATCAAACTTCCAGGATTTAATCTCAATCTCAACATAGCCAATCACAGAACCCTAATTATATTGTGTATTTCCTCATTGAATTCATAAGTTTCACGTGCTTTTCTCTATGTTAAAGAAGAGTGTTCTCCTCCTAATAGATACAATGATCATAATACAAGAAAAATCAATAATTCTATTTCTTTAATAGTTTCATTTTGCTAGTTAAGCAAAACAACCAAACACTCATATTAATGGTTTAGCCGCTCTACTCAGTCATCATTATCTGCTAGATACCTATCAAGTAATTCTTAAGATTATTGACTGTATAACATTTTATTTCCTTCTTTCAAATAATAGAAGGCAAAATAACTACTAAGCAGCGGGGCAACAGCGAGCCCTTTACATGGAGAACTATACAAGATTTTTGCAGAGGCAAATGAATTATTCAAAAGGGCAAAACAAAGTCATGGTTTCTCGAAGACGAAGGAAGAAAATTTATATGCTGGAAAGTGTTTTGAATTGGTCAACATATATTGAAAAGATTACCATTTTACCAAAATCTAAATCTATTGATAACTTCAGTAGGAATATATAAAAAGGTGAAGTGCCATTCACTTTTCTTAGATTGTAACACACAGAGCATTATAATCACTTTGTCTAGTTGATCGGATGATGGAGGATCAGATCATAGACCATCATGAAATTCAATGACTTTTGACAACTATTTACAAAATTTAAAGATGCATAAGCATATTTGCATCTAAAGTACGGTTCACTATCAACCCTTCTTTTACCGATACACTGAATAAATTCTAGCATAAGCAGTTACCTATGGTCTTTACTTTTTAATCAATTCTCCAGTACAACTACTTCAACCACCAAAAAAAACGTAAACATTGGAGTTAAGTTACATCATTAAGAAAATACATCATATTTTTACAACGATGGCAACAAAAAAGCAATGTAGTATGTGCATGAAAATTAATATTCGAAAAAAAAAAATTCACTTTTAGCAAGCATTAAATAAAAAAAAAATCACTCCTTCCTGAGATAAGGTGACATTACCTGCTGCTTCTAAATCAGCAGTAATTGTCCCAAGTTTTACAGCAAGAGGGTAACTTGTCTCCTTGTAATGTTCAATGGCATGATTGTTTCCGCCGCTTCCATCCCAATTTCTTCGACCACAAAGGATCGTTCCATCACTAAGATTCAACCACAAATTTTCTCTTTTCTCACACTTCGCACATTTCCATCCAGATGGAGGAACAATAACACCATTGTCAATTTGTGGTAAATTCATTGCATATGCACTAATTTGCTTTTTATCAGCTGTCCAAGCAGCAAGCTGTTCTTTCCGTTCTGCACTTTCTGCCATTAAGATGGCATCAACTGCCAGCCTTACCTATTCATGTTGAATTCTTCCATTAGGCAATGAACTTTTTCCCATTTTAAAATTTTAAAACAAAATAAAGAAAAGAATAAATGTTATTAACCTTCTCAGGCAAATCTACAGAAGGAAATGGAAAAGTAACATAATCAGGCAATATGACTATGCTGTAAATTTCTTCATATTCAGGTTCATTGTTGTCAAATCCCCCTTCAACACCTATAAAACAGAACATACAAGTTAAAAGTATTTCTCTCTAGTAGGATGTAAATAATTAGAAAAGAGAGGTAAAAAATAGGCCGGGGAATATACATATGCAAAAATGACAGCACTTTTTTTTTTTTTTTTTTTGGGGGGGCGGGGAATATACATATGCAAAAATTTTTTTTTTTTTTTTTTTTTGGGGGGGTTGTGTGTGGGAGGTTGTTGTCTTGCAGCAAGAAGGGAGTAAGAGAGGGTGTCGCAATAGTGACAGTCATTCCATATGCATGGAGGAACCCAGTGAACCCAAAAAACCGAGGTCATTGAATGTGACCTTTTCACATAAACAACTCTAACATAATCATTTGCTAACATGCGGGAAAACCAAACTCAAGCAATCAATCTAAGCAAGCATTTTTCACCACATATTGTTTCATCCACAATTTCCAACAACTAAAAAAGTAAATAGATACAAAATGTTGAGAAACAAAAATCAAACACTACCATAAATATTAAAGATGTCAAAAAACTTATCAAGACATAAGCAAAGACCATATCCGATATTTAAATACCTATAGCCAACAAAGTTGGTTTTTTTGAAGGCCTGTCCTCAGGAACCAACTTTCTTGTTTGCTTTATGTGCAAATAAACTGCATCACCAGTCTTCTCATAGTTCCAACCCACAGAGTCTTTCCCGAATGCAAGAAATGTGTTCATGTCAACATATAATCCACCTTCAGATCTCTGCAAGTAATTATATAACACCAGAAGGTGCATAGAGTCAGAGATTACAGCACAAGAAAGTAAATGCACTTAAAATAGACCAAGATAGAAATAAATTAGCAAGGAAATCAGCAATTTTCGCTGGTTTTCTTTGGACATATCAGAAAGCTAGCTATAACTCAAATTCAACCAGTGTAACTACAATTTTCTCAAATCAAACAATATACATATGCATTATAATAGCTTCGTTCCCAGTATCCTCCCACAAAATTTGATACATAACAACAGTATAAAAGTAGCAAATAACGGCGCCAAAACAATGGCCTCTACTTAGCTCTAGTGAAACTTTAACTAACAAAATAGAGAACTAAAATTACGAACTTTATTGCTTGTTACAAAGCTTAAAAAAATATTACGAGTTTTTACCTGCATTTAACAACACTATCAAACCACATTATTCAACAAACAAAAAGTATTAAACTTTTGCTTCACCTTAATTTTCTAAATCAAACCCAGAAATCAAAACAAAAATTTCAATTACACTGAAGCAATAGATTTGCGAGCCAAATAAAAGTTGAAAATTTTCCAACATACTTTCCTCTTCACAGACACTGTCTCGAGAACCAAACAGAAAATTTAAATTTAAAAAAAAAAAAAAGGTAGGGAAATTACTGGAGTATCGAATGAGATGCAGCATTCGTCCTTGTAGATGCGATTGGTGGGTTCGGGGATTCGAACCCGAGAGAGATTGGATCGGAGCAACTCCATACTATATAGGTATATCACTGCAAGCACCGATAAGGGTTTTTTAAATTCTGGTTCTCTTTCTTGAGTTTGGAGAGACAAAGAGAAGGGTTTATAGAAAGAGAGGAGAATTTATGCCTTGCCCAAAGTGAATGCAAAGTCTGATACTTTGGTTTGATTAAATTAAAAGATAGATAAAGGCGTCGAGAGGAGAGGACTGAGGAGGAGGCAAAGAAAGAAGTCTTTTGTGTTTCAAGGTCTAAGGTGTAAAGAAAATTTTATTCTTCATACATATATATTAAAAATTTTAAGTATTAAAATATTTTTTTAAGGATAATGAAAATAATTAATTTTAAGACAATATATAGGATAGTTAATTTTAATTACGCTTACTCCAGAATCTCATAATATGTCCCTCTTTTTCTTTCAATTTTTTATTTTTTTATTAAATAAAATTTTAAATGTATTTACATCACATCCATAATATATGTGAATTTGATGTTCTTGAAATACTTTTTATTAAATATGATAAAATTTCGCATTCTAGAAGGCAACAATGGTTACAAAAACTCTATATTGCATTGAGTTTAGAATTATTTTTCTGTTTTGCTTTTCTTTTATTATTTGTTTTTTCCTAGATTGAATTAGAAAAACCATAATACGAGAAAAGGTAAAATAATTTATTAAACTTTAATCCTTTATTTGGAATAAATAAATTCTATAAAATTTTGTAGAATTCATCTATAAAGCTGAATTTGTGTGTTTGCTATGGAAAAGAAAAAGAAAAATTAAATTTTATGAATTTATATATAACTAAATCAAATTCTACTAAAAAATATAAAATTTTCAAATAAATTCCACAAATTTAAACAATCCAAAATTTTATGACAAAATACTTCATTCCTCTAATTTTTTTAAATTATTATGTAAATAATATTTTAGGAATAAAAATAATAAATTTTTAATTTTTGAATTTAGTCCACCTATGAAAAGTTCATTTACAAATGAATTTTATTTAAAATTTATTTATAAATATATAATTTCACATTTTGATTTAATTTATATCAATTGGTACGTAAATGTTACAAATATTAATATACTACATAGCTCAAATATGTCAAAAAAGCATAAGGAAGGCTTTTTTTTTTTTTCCTTTGCATAGTTATACCAAGTGGGTATTTATTTATAATAAAAATAACATTATTTAGTTTGACTTATAAATAAAATTAAGTAAATTAATTTAAGGATAAAACTACAATGGACAATAAAAAATTTCTCTAAGTAAAAAAGTCTTCTTAATCATTAAATTAAAATAACTTTTATATGAACCAATGAATTTAAATATAATAAGAATAGTTGTTACTTATAAATTACATTAATGATATATTAATAATATTAGTATTCTTTATTTAATTTTTTACTATTAAGTATTATTATTAATTTTGTTATTAAAAAGTTTTCTCTTTAATATTTTTAAGAATATAAATTAAAAATATTGATTATCCCATCTAAAAAAGTAAATTTACTTATTATTTTCTTTAATATTATAAATAAGCTAGCTATGAAAAATAATATCAATATTTTATCACCACTAAAATGAAATAATTTAATTAATTTAAACTTTTAGACTAGGTGTAATTTTACTCTAATTTAACATTTAATTTAACATTTGTTCTTTAGATGCCCTAATTTTCATGTTTAATAGCAATTTACACCCCACAATCAATTTTAGGATTAAGATTTAGAATTAAAAATTATAATTAGTGGTCCCACAATCAAAATTTGATCACATTTTCTATTTTGCCATCCTCTCTTCCCACTCTTCCACTTAATTTCTTCAATGGATATCAAAAGGTGAAAAAATAAGAAATCAAAAATCATTCTAAAACAAATAAAAAATACCCATAAATTTGTTTTCATTTTTTTCGTGGTATCCATTAAAAGCGGTCAACATCTCCATGAATCCTCAAAATAACTCAATTGAAATTTCTCAGTAATTTATTTTCACCTCCAAGAAAAAAAAAAAAAAAAAAAAAACAGGAAGGAAATTATAGATTTTTGTTTTCATTTTTTTAAAATTTTTTCTTATTCCTGTAATTTTAACTTAGACAACTACCAATGTTTGTCAAACATTACACACATTACATTTTTTTAAAACATATATTTAATTAACTGATCTTCCTTTAACGTTTGTATCACAATCAACTAATTTATGTAACTGTGATATGCGAGGATGACCCATTGACTTATTAAACATTAGGCAAGTTCTTATATCTATTGCATAAATTAAAGATTACTTTTCTACATTTCCAAATCACGGACCGATAAAACAACAAATGCTAGACAATATCTATAGGTCAGAGCGTTTATATTAGGATATATTCGGTAAAATTAGTTATTTTGTTAATTGTTAATTGTTTTAGGAGTGTTTAGCTATTAGCTGTTTGAGTAGTTTTCGATGAAATGCTAAAAATTAAACAATTCATGAGTTAACTTTTCACAAAACGCTACTATAATCTTTAAAAACTACTTAAAAAAGCTAAAAACTCTATTACCAAACAATCAAAATGTTAAAAGTTTTTAAAAAACTATTATTAAACACAGTCTTAGTATTTTATATTTTTTTAACACTTCTTTAGGAAGTGATTACACTTGAAAACCATCTTCAAGATGTTAATTCCACGATTTGATCTTGCAATGCAGAATTTAGTGCACACTAGTCATTAGACCAAGTTATATCGGATGGAATTTTATATCTTAAGTGCTGATCAAGTGAGAGGAAATCTTACTTCTGGGTGTTTATATCTGTCCACCATATATATCCCATCACAATTTTATAGCTTTTACCGAACATTGTAAAAATGAGTTCACTTTTTATAGTATACCTTCTCCTGTCTATGAAATTACAAGAGCTACCTGCAGCCAACGCTGGAGGAAACAAGACTGATCAATTTGCTTTGCTCAAGTTCAAAGAAGGGATAACCAACTATGCAAATGGAACATTCAACTCATGGAACAAATCTGTTCCTTTCTGTAATTGGTTTGGGATCACATGTAGTCGTCGTCACGAAAGGGTGACATCCTTGGTCTTACAAGGCCAAGACTTGTTTGGCTTTATATCACCATATATTGGCAATCTAAGTTTCCTCAAGTTGGTCGATCTCCGAAACAACAGTTTGCATTGCCAAATTCCACCAGAAGTTGGAAACTTATTCCGGCTAGAACAATTCAGTGTCAGCAACAACACTTTAGATGGTGAAATTCCTACCAACTTGACTCGTTGCTTGCAACTCGGGATGATTCGTTTGGCACGAAACATTCTTGTTGGAAAAATCCCTCCAGAGCTTGGTTCTTTAATGATGCTTCAAGTGCTTGCTCTTAGTGTGAACAATCTGACAGGAGAAATTCCTTCTTCCCTTACCAACCTTTCATCTCTTACCTTTCTTTCGATTGCGTACAATAATTTGATAGGAAATATTCCAGATGAGGTAGGAAGATTAACACGCTTAACTTCTTTTTCAATTTCTGTTAATAGAATATCAGGGGCTATCCCTATATCCTTTTTCAATATTTCATCAATTGTTCTCATCTCCGCTGTAGAAAACCACCTTACCGGAAACTTGCCAGACATGTTAGGTCTTGCTTTCCCAAGTCTACAAAATTTTGACATTGGTGGTAATGAATTTTCCGGTCTGATACCGGATTCATTGTCTAACGCTTCTCAAATCCAGTCCATAGATATTGCTGAAAATAATTTTTCTGGAAAAGTTTCAGTCAATTTTGGAAAGATGAAAAGTCTTCAGCTTTTACAACTTGGGAGTAATAATTTGGGAAGTAATTCAACAAATGATTTAATGTTCTTAACATCTTTGGTAAACTCTAGCTATTTAGAAATGTTGGATTTGACTTTAAATAATTTTGGAGGTGTTTTACCTGACTCTATGTCCAATTTGTCAAGTCAACTGGGTCGATTATATCTGGGAGGAAATGAAATTACTGGAGTTATTCCTGTTGCATTGGAGAGTTTGATCAATTTAGTACCAATGGATTTGGGAAGCAACCTTTTTACAGGTCCAATTCCATCTTATTTTGGCAAGTTTCAGAAACTAAGAGGACTGGCTTTAAATGGAAACAAGTTGTCAGGTCAGATTCCTTCCTCCATAGGCAATCTTACTCAGTTGTTTGAATTATACTTGCAAGGAAACAAATTGGAAGGACCCATTCCTCTAGCTATTGCAAGCTCAAAATATTTGCAACATTTAGACATTTCAAGAAATAATCTTAACGGAACACTATCTCAAGAGCTAATTGGCCTTTTTGTTTCACTATTATCACTAAATTCTCACAGAACTCATTGACTGGTTCTTTGCCTGCACAAGTTGGTAAGCTGGAAAGCATTTACATGTTAGATATGTCGGAGAATAATCTTTCTGGTGAAATTCCCAATAGCATTGGAGATTGCTTAAGCCTAGAATATCTTCATATGAAAGGAAATTTCTTTAGCGGAATCCTTCCTTCGGCTTTTGCTTCTCTGAAAGGTCTTCTGTATTTAGATATGTCTAGAAATAACTTGTCAGGGCAAATTCCAGAAGACCTATCCAATCTTCGGTTTCTACTTTATTTGAATCTCTCATTCAATGATTTTGAGGGTATGGTACCAACAAAAGGAGTGTTTGGAAACACAAGTGCATTGTCTTTGATTGGCAATGATAAACTATGTGGTGGTGTTCCACAACTCCATTTGCCAAACTGTCCTGATAGCTCTCCTACAACGATGAAGAAAAGAAATTCCCTTTTTCTTAAGCTAGCACTAGTTATTGGTTGTGTGCTTCTTTGTGTAATCTTGATATTAGCATCTCTTGTCATTTCTTTGAGGAAAAAATCAGAAAAGAAGTCGCCTTCCACATCCTTAATTATGGAACCCCTTATAAAGTATCTCATAGAGGCCTTTATGCAGCAACAAATGGATTCTCTCAAGCTAATTTAATTGGATTCGGAAGTTTTGGCAGTGTATGTAAAGGATTTCTGAATCAAATAGAAAAAGAAGTTGCTATTAAAGTTCTTAACCTTGAGAAACAAGGAGCTTACAAGAGCTTCATGGCAGAGTGCAAGGCGCTAAGAAATACTAGACAACGAAATCTTGTTAAGTTATTAACATACTGCTCTAGTATTGATTACCAACGAAATGAATTCAAAGCTCTTGTTTTCGAATTTATCGAAAATGGGAGCCTTGAGAAGTGGTTGCATCCTGATTTAGACAATGAAAATCAATTGACAAGTTTAAATCTTCTTCAGCGACTAAGTATTGCGATGGATGTGGCCTCTGCACTTCACCATCTTCATGAATTTTGTGAAACAACAATCATTCACTCTGACTTAAAGCCGAGCAATGTTCTTCTTGATGAGGACATGGTTGCCCGTGCAAGTGATTTTGGTCTAGCAAGGCTTCTTTCGACCGCCATGGATTCATCTCAAAGTGAAATCAGTACAATGGGAATTAAAGGAACAATTGGATATGCTGCTCCAGGTATTATATTACAGTCCATTAATTTTATTGCTAATAAAATCCTGTAATGATTTATTAACCCAGTTGTACTTTTCAACTGCAGAGTATGGCATAGGTTGTCCAGCATCAAATGAGGGAGATGTTTATAGTTATGGGATTCTTCTGTTAGAAATATTCTCCGGAAAAAAAACCCACTGATGACTCGTTCCAAAACGGTATAAACCTTCACGAGTTTGTGAAGAAGGCATTGCCAGAAAGACTTATGATGGTCGTAGACCCAAGGCTTTTCAAGAATGAAATGACAGAATTGCAATCAACCAGAGCAGTAAATGAAGAAGAAATTATAGAGCAAGAAGACAGAGACAACAATGGTAACTTGCTCCAGATGGAAGCAAATGTGCAAAATTGTCTACTTTCAGTACTTGAAATTGGAGTTGCTTGTTCAGCAGAATTGCCACATGAAAGAATGAAAATGGAAGATGTCACCAGAAAATTGCATTTTATAAAAAATACCTTTCTCGGTACTCAGATCCAAAGGGACAGACAAAAGTACAATGAAACTACTGATAATAATTTTGTAAAGGTTTAATCTTAGATCTTTACATGGATATATAATTTATATGATGTAATAGATAAATTTGACAATAAAAAGTAAAACCTATTGGCTGTAATTTCTTATACCAGGTTTTAATCTAACTGTTAAATTTTTTATAATATTATTATTTAATGGTTATTTATAAAATAAAAATATAATTTTAATAGTTAGAAAATAATTATTTTACAAAGTTAATAAATTCTAAATATAACATAAATACAGATCAAACAAGGCAGCTGCCACTCACAATAACTATTGCCACACAAGTCGTAAATTATTGTATTACAGGATATAGATATGTTACCTCAGTAAAAATAAAACTAATAGCCATTAAATTAAATAAATTAAAATATTTACCAAATACTTATAATATAACTGTTGGATTCAAATCTCATATATCAACTGTATGAATCAATTGAATCAAGAGTGCGCTTAATTTTCAATTCTATCCAATCTCTCTTCTTCTTTTTTTTTTTTTTCAACGGACCATATATAAATAGTCAGCTTTTAGTATACATTAAAACCTACGTAAGTGAATAAAAACAAAGCTATCAATAATTAAAGTACTAAAATAAGAATTCGAGTGAGAAAATAATAGTCTAAAGAAAATTTTTTTAAAAAGATTGTTTTTCTATTGTTTAATGACTTTATTTAAGCCCTAATCTTTAGGCAACTTCACTTATGAAACAGTTCATGGTCAAAATAGCTTTTGTTGGAATGGGTCCATGTTGAAAGTACAGAGAGTTTAAAACGTAAACGGAACTTTAAAAAATGCTTCATATATAAATATACATATGGATTTAAATTCAATGAATAGTTCACTTTTAGGTAAACTTTTCCTGCTTAATCCTATGTTCGAACCTTTTTTTGGATGACTTGATAATTTACTTTTTCAACCTATTGACTTACTGCGCAAAGGGACTTGTTTATCTTCAATCTTCTAATTTATAAGCGGTGAAAAATTTTAATAAAAATAATATAGTAAATTGCTATGGTTTTATTATATTTTTAACCGGAAAAAACTTACTTAAATCTAGTACGTGGATCTAGTTCATATGTCAAATCAATTAAAAATAGTTTTTATATTTAAAACCAAAGTAATTCTGACTTAAAAAAAAAAAGGATAAAACACTAACAATATTTAAAAAAATTTTTTTTTTTTTTTAAATTAGCTTGGTGTATGAGTGGTGTTATGCATCCATGTAGGCAAGTATTATCCACCATTAACATTAGCACATGCATCGTGTGTTTTACGATTCTCATTAATAAATTGAAGTTTCCTTGTTTAAAAAAATGAAATATATATATGTGTAAGCGCTGGCTTTATGCTCTCATTTGTTTGTCAAATGAAAAATACAATTGAAATATCTTCACATAATAAAAATCCGAAAAAGAAAAAAATTATAAATTTCTCAAAAACTTCAAAACATCCATAAAAATCTGAACTAATGACAAATTTCTATACCCTTACAATAGCCCATTAACATCCAAACTATTAGGGATATCAAACATTAAAATATTGCTACAGTAACTGTCCCTCTCATCTTCTGTGCTACCATTGACATAATTTGTCGAAGAAGACTGCAAAGGAGTGGTGCTTGATGAAGGAGTTGTAGAAATTACAGATCCAAAACCCAAATTTGGTAGATTCTCAAATGAAGCTTTCATGATACCTTCATTACTCATCATCTCATTATAATTCGGCAGCATCAAAAAATTTTGGTAGCTAAAGTTATTAATTTGGTCATTAGAAAGTTGGTCCAAATTGGGTTGCAAGAATTGGGTTTCATTTAAAAGTTGAGCATTTGATGATTCTATAATTTCTTGAAATTGGGTTTGTTGCAAGCTTTGGAATAATTGATTTTCTTGAAAATTTTTTTGACTAGTATTTTCTTGAGAGGTGAAACGAAAAGAGGCTAAGTTGTCGAGTAAATTAGGATTCAAGATTGATCCAACATTTCCGAGCAAATTTGAAATATTACCAATTTGAGATGATGAATTATAAAGAGAAGAGTTGATGAATGAGTAGAGTTGAAGAAGATCTAAACGTGGCTTATGGGTTGTAGGATCAATCCCCATTCTTAGTAGCTTTTTCTTTATGTGGGTATTCCAATAATTCTTGATTTCATTATCAGTTCTTCCAGGCAAGCGAGAAGCAATGGCAGACCACCTAAAAGAAAAGTGAACAAATAAGAAAATTACTTTTTAGATATAAAGATATAAATTTTCAATTATCCAATATCATTGACTTGCACACAAGCCTACCAAGAAAAACAATATAATTCTTATATTTTCTTTAAAGAAACGGTAGTGGTCTATGAAGTAGGTAATGTATTATTGAGAAATGGACTATGCATTTGAAAAAAAAAAAAAAAAAAAAAAAAAAAAAAAAAAAAAAAAAAAAAAAAAAAAAAAAAAAAAAAAAAAGAAAAAAAAAAAAAGAAAACACAGACACCTCATAACTCTTATCTCTTTTTTAATGTTAAATACTACAAAAATTGGCCAAAACGTGAACGACATAAACAAGTTTATAACTATATTTACAAATTCAACAAATGGTTACCATTAGAAGTTTCAATGTGAAATGTCACGTTATGTATAAACAAAAATCTTAATAAATTAATAGTGTTAATTTATTGACACTTTGAAAAAAAAAAAAAAAAAAAAAAAAAAAAAAAAAAAAAAAAAAAAAAAAGAAATCTACTTTATCTCTTTTTTAAAAGTTAAAAATATAAAAAAATTGGCCAAAAGAGTGAACGAAATAAAAAAGTTTGCTTATATTTACAAATTCACCACACTGAATTTACCATTAGGAGTTTTTCCAATGTGAAATGTCACGTTTGTAATAAACAAAAATCTTTAAAATAAATCAATAAGTTTTAATTTATTGACACTATTGTCATATGTATAATAAGACACTATAATTAATTTAAAGTTGAAGAAAAATTTTAATAAATAGATACGGAGGCATTGAGTTAAAATTTTAATTTTTTTTATAGATATATAATTAATTAATTATTAAAGATATTGCGGCGGAGTGACCGATCTGGGATCTATTGATTTCAAGTCATCACGAGAATCATTTGTAATAATGTAGTATTGATGTATATTCTCGTACATAAAATCAAATAATGGAAATATTAACAATTGATACACCTTTAAATATTTCTGATAAGTCAACAAAATGAACAAAAGACTAAGACAATTATAAAAAGAATTAAAAAAAAAAAGAAAAAAGAAAAAAGAGTAGGATTCATGTAATTTCTCCTACATAATGATAATGACATAAAAACTGAGAGCACTAAGACACCAATTATTCACATTAAATTATTACAAAGTATGAAAACTATATGTTAAAGCAAAAACACAAAACTTATTATAATAATCAAATAAAATAAAAGAAATTAACTTACTTATTTCCCAAAACACTATGTAATTGAATTATGGCATCTTCTTCTTCAACAGAAAATTTCCCTCGTTTAATGTCAGGCCTCAGGTAATTAGTCCAGCGAAGCCTGCAGCTCTTCCCACATCGTTTTAACCCTATTTAACATAAGAAAAACCAAGATTAAACCCATTATTAGTAAAACTAAAACTTCATTAATTACAAAAAGTAGAAATGCTTATAAGCAAACCTGCATTCTTTGGCAGAGTTCTCCACCTGCCATGCCCATGTTTCTGAATATAAGCAATTAGCTTCTGATCTTCCTCAGAAGTCCATGGACCTTTCTTTAATCCATTTTTGTCACAGCAACTAGATTTGGCCATAATGTATGGTTTTATATGTTCAATGGATTGTTGTACGCGACTATGTATGGTGAAAAAGAGAGAAACACACACAGAGCGAGAGCGAGAGAGAGAGAGAAGGGTTCAGAGACATATAGTAGAAAGCAAGGTTGGGTACGTTTGAGAAAAATGAGAGAGTTAATATATATATATATATAGAGAGAGAGAGAGAGAGAGAGAGAGTAAGGAGTTCGAAGAAGATAAGCAAATAGTGTAAGTCAATGGGATTTGGTACCGTCCTTTGTTTATTGCATATATACGTGTCTTGCTACTATCACAATTCACATACGCCCAAGGTAATTAGTCTACTGCTTCTTTCTTATGATTGGAAATTATTGTGCATTTGGAATACCCATTTTTAGCTGGCCATTGCTCTTTCAACTTTATGCTTAACCTCTAATTGTATTTTTCAATTTTTTTTTATTATCACGAGTGTCCGTATCCTTTGTATGTGAAACTATTCTCGTTTCGAAATTTATGTTTAAAACTGAGAAGATAACTCATACATGAATTTATCACTCTGCTTAGCTCATTAAATTGGTGAAAACAATTGTGGTCAAGAGGACTCGAATTCAACATCTCCACTCCTCACATAAATGAGAAGACCAACTAGACCACCACTAATTGACGTTAAATATATACTTATTACTAAATGGCCAAGTTAAATTTATATCACTCAAAGCATTGAAAACTATAAATTAAATAAAAATTAGTTTAATAAATATTCAAAATAGATGAATTGAAGTGATTGAATTCTAATCAATTATTTAAAAAACAAATCTCTATTTTTATTGATCTATTCACGAGTGATCTAACAGAGTATAGTTAAAATTTTCTAATCAACTATTCTTGATATCACAAATTTGAAATCTAATTACAGCTTATTTTAATCTAAAAAAGAAAAGCAATTAAAAAAAAACATATAGATCTAAAATGTGGCGAGAAACAATAGGCTTCTCCGCCTCCATGGTCTCCCACAGCAACGTCTTCTCCGTCTGTCTCATATTCTACAACAGTTGTGTGCAAGAAAACCAAGTCATTGTCTACTTTTACTTTTTGGATACGTATAGCACCTCTCCACTGCCACGTATACCTTCTCTTGCTGTATTTTGGCTCCAAGCTTTGACTCTGTTACAGAACCAAACACCACATGCTTCAATTCAGCTTCACCCTCCAAGCCGACTTATTTCAATTCTTAATTGGCTAATTTTGGTCGTCCAATCAATTAATTCATGTCACAATGGCAATCAATCTTTCACTATAAAATACATATATATGGAAGTTCCACGTCAAATTTTTTACTTCTTTTCCTTTTCATTCCTATCCCTTGCTATAGTTTGCACATGATTGTTCAGTATTGTCTACATTTAGTGTATGAAAATGCCAGTATACCAAATTAGGCAATGAAGAAACTTTTAAAAATTATTTATATTTTATCTCTTCATTCTTAGTGAATGATCATAAATATTCTTATTTCAACTGAAAAATTAATTTTGATTGGTTTTATTATATGAGTACATTGTAGATAAATTTTTTCCATACAGATAAGACTTGTCTGTACATGCTGTATTAAAAGAATGATCGAACTGTTAGAACTATTTAAAGCTTTCTATTAATTAAGATTTCTCACATTAGGATATGAGCTAGAATTTCCCTCTTATGTAAGTAACTTATTTATAATTTTAATGCAGCATGAAAAGAGTTAAAATGAATTAAATTGTTTATTTTTGGTAGGATTTCATGATTTGTCCTAAATAGAGAATATCATAATTGAGCCCACTCAAATTATTGAAAAAAAAATATCTAATCACAATGATAATTAGATCTATTGAAATTACACCCTATAATTTTATCATTAGACAGGCATAAAATACTCAATTACTCCATGAAACATGTGAATCTCTTGAATTCACCTAGCTACGTCTAATTTCAGGTCAGTTGAAGTTTTGGTCCATTCTTTCTCTTTAAGTCTTTTTCTTTTTTCTTTTTTCTTTTCTTTCTAACTTGAACCAAATTCTAATTGACTCAATTATTTTTCAAACTTTAATACCGAAATTGATATAGAATTTTCTCAATTTTAGTCAATTTTAAAATCAATCACTCTGAATCGATTTTGATTTGGAACCGACCTGTGATCGCAATTAGAACTGAATAGCTAATGAATGAAAATTTCAAGTTATAAAAGAAAAAAGAAAAAAGCTAGCTAGTTAAATCTTAATTTCACATGAATATCTTTTTCACTTTCAATCTTTTCAGAGAATTGACAAATGGGACTAGGTTAGATTCCCTTGCAGTTGCTCCTTTCATACAGGAAAATTTCCATAGTCATCACACAATTTAATGTGACAAATGACTATTTTTGGAGTAGGGGAAGTGCAACTCGTTAAATTGCACATGTTAAAACTGTTCAATCTATAGTCAACTATCATTTTCGAATGTGATTAAATAACATTTAGCTTTTTCTTCTTTGGGAAATAAATAATTAAAACGCCATATATATTAACTTGGCGGTGAGGGTATTATATGTCACCTTAGCAAAAGTCCATGATGGAATTCTATTTCTCATTTCTCCAATACTTGAAAGAGATGAGGAAAAAAACAAACATTACATATGAGTGTAAATTTATGGAAAATTATGATAAATTAGTGAGAATATAATATTTATAATTCCCGAATGAGCTCTGAGATATAAATTTTAAATTATATGAGTTTTATATATATTTGATACGATACGAGATATTTTTAGATCGAGATAATCAAGTCATAGGATGAAACTTGTTGAGTTACGTGTTAAGTCAAACAATTTACTTATAGATAATTGGCTCCCAATCCGAATCAAACATGACTAAACACCGGAAGTACATATGCTAAAGAGTTTACGACACTCTATAAGAGGATCTCTCCCAGAACAAAGTTATGTAATCTAATTTTTAAAAATCAATTACTCTTTGAGGTCGTCTTGATTGATAAAATCTGATCAGTGATAAAATTTATCAATATCATAAATTTGTTTGATTTCTTTATTTGGTTGAGAAAAAAAAATTATAATTCATGATTAGTTTTATCATGCCCTCAATTCCACAATTTTAGACGAGAACAATCCCACTTTTTAGGTGAGATTTTCTTCAATTCAATCATTTTTTATTAATTATAAAATTTTAATCAGTTAAAATTTTAAAATACCCTTCAAATCCAACGATTAAATTTTTTCAACCAAATGATGGAATGTGAAATTGCATTGATTTTCCTCTCGAAAAAAAAATGAATTGATTTCATAATTGATGGATTTCAAAGTTTAAAATAAGTGCATATGCATAATAACTTAGAAGGTGCGTATTATATAATAACTGTTTTTTTTTTTCATATTTAGACTCCGTTTATTTTCGAAAAATAACTTAACTTGGAAAATATTTTAAATGACTTAGTTTCAGTTTTTTGGTTGCATTATTAAAATTTAATTATAAATATAAAATTTTTAACTCATAAACTATAATAATAATAATAATAATAATAATAATAATACCGTATTAAAAAAATTTATTGTTAAATATGAGAGTAATGAAAAAAAAAAAGTAAATTATGGAAGTCGCGTGTGTCGAGTGGTGGCAACCAATGGCGGCGGCAGCGGCTGGTGATGAATAGTGAGTTGGTGATAGTGGCTACCAGTGATTAATAAATTAAAAAACATAGATTTATAAGGTTATAATAAGTTTGTCAAAATCCGGAAAATGTTTTACGCTCTTGAAAATGGAAAGTCATTTTTCTTAAAAATGACTTAATTTTTCTTTGACCAGGAAAATATTTTTCGTTTACTTATTTTCATGAACGTTCTAAACAATGAAAAATTATGAAAAATATTTTTCTGTAAATTATTTTACTGAAACAAATGGAGCCTCAATCTCTGTTAATATTCCAATTATAATTAATTTTACAGTACAACCTTAAAATGGGTATATTTACCTAAAAATCAAGCTAATAATTAATTTTAATTTTAAAAAAATTGTCAAATTTTATTAATTTTTGTCTGTTGTTTTTAGTAAATTTATTAGATTGATTTAGTATATTGCTAGTCAATAGTTAAATCTTTTTTTGTTTCTAAATTGTCCCTCACCACTCAATTACATGACATGGCAAGTAAAGGTAGAGCATAGAATCATACATGAAAACCATGACTAGTGACCACAAGTTACCAGATTCATATTATCTTGCCAGGTTAGAGTATTTCTGAACTGGATGCTAAGGGCAGCCAAGAAGACGAAAGGAATTTAGGATATTTGGTCAAACAATGCACATTGAAAGTTAGGCATCAAGAAAGTGTCAGAGAAATAATTGCAACTCATTAGTGGTGTTCAAACCGGCTAGTGATATATGCTTGCGATTTCAAGCACTATAACGGTGTAAATTCATGTATGTAGAAGCTACTAATTAAATACTGATAGCAAAAAGCGATAGCTAGGACTTAGTTGCGTAAACGTGCCGAGTCGAGCTTGAAGTTGATAGTTTTGAAACTCGATTTGATAGAATTTAGCATGACTCGAAACTCGATAAATTTGAAAGACTTAAGGCTCGAGTTTAATTTAAAAAATTTTAAATTCGAAATTTAATGTTTAAATAAGTTTAAAATAAATATTATATCTCGGATAACGCGATAAATTTGAAAGACTTAAGGGCTCGGTTTAATTTAAAAATGGGTTAAATTCGAAAATTTATGTTAAAATAAAGGTTTAAAGTAATATTATATTGCTATATTATACTATATATATAGTATCATTATACTATTAATGAGCTAAAGACCTTGCGAGCTTTCAGCTGACATCGTTATATATAATGAGCTAAATAGAGCTTGGCGAGCTTTCAGCTGAACATCGTTAGGTTCAAGCTCGAGTTCAATTTGAGTGAACTTTTTTAAACTTTTCTTAAGTCGAGCTCTAACAGCTCGACTCATTTACGCCTATAGCTAGGACTATTTAAATCGAATCTCAATATGATCCGATTCTAATAATTATAGAATTGATAATTGGCTTGTTTTCGTCTCATATTCATTTTGAAAAGTATGTATATGGGTTATATAAAATTCAAAAAATATACTTGATCAATTTGGATCTAACACAATTTTCACTATATCTGGGTAAAATGCTCTGT